AGAATGTCCATGTGATATTGTTAACAACCAGATGTAACAATGTTTGCAGATTTTTAGAAATATTCCAGCGCAGACAAAAAGTTAGGGTGAATTTACAAAGAAAGGAAATTATATGAAATAGATAAAGGATGAGCGCCAACACTCTGGGATGTAAACATACTGTTGCAAAAATAAAGGGCGAAGTCAAGGCCTTTGTTCTCTTGACAGTACGTCATAAATGTGCCAATAAAGCACAGGCATATGTTTTCTTTTAGCACCGGGAAATACTTAAGTTTCACAAACTAAACACTGCGTAAGCTCAACCATTTACATTTAAAGCAGATTGCACGATTTCATAAAAACGGGATGGTTTGTGCAAATGCCTTACCTTCCCTGTACTTTGTCAACATGTAAGTGTAGTCCACCTGACCAAAATAGTGACCACAACATTTGTCTGTGCTCTTAGCTTTGTATTTTGAAGATTTGTAAAATTTTCAACCATTTTGATTATAGTATTTTACACAGACATTTTAATATAGCAACGGTGAATGTGTTGGGATGTTCAAAACTCTACTTCTGTATGATTACAAGAATAAACAAGAGGCCCACAGTTTTCAATAATCGTTTTTTTGTGTTTTTGTTCACATTTCTATTTTTGAGAGTCGGTAGATTCAAAATCCAATTTTGGCCTTAGCTGCATTTTGATACTGTATTGACTTTAGGATTTCAACCTCAGTCAAAAGAGTTTGAAATCCACCAGTCAATTTCTGTCTTCATTAATGCTTCAGCTTCCTTATGCCATTTTCACATATAAAGTTGCACTATACAGGGCTCCAGATAAGGGCTGTATCGGCTTATGTACGGATATAAAATAAGCACGATACGGTAGGAAATAATTTAGAAAACGTAGCAGATACGCACCACAGCAATGGTGTATGGACTTAGAATCATTTACAGACGTATTTATCTGAAAAAAGTATTGTTTTATTGTTAATTGACCTGTTTACTCAAGACTCGCAATGTTGTGGTGCATATATGACACGAAACACAAGATTACTGATACTCCATTAAATTCCATTCAGTACTCTAAATGTAGGCTTAAGGTTTTCGAGTACTCCTATATTGAACAAATAAGGAGTACGTACTCCTGATCATGAAAGATTATCTGGAGCCCTGACTATAGTTTTGAAACTCTTTGCTCTTTGAGTGTATCATTTAGTAAACCATCTGTCTGGTTTGACACCTGACTAACAGTAAAGGTAATTGCCATTTTAAACAATTTAATGAATTTAAATATAAAAATGTACTACATATCATAATTAGAATCATGTCTTTTTATGCCAGTAGAGAAAATCTGGAAAGGAGCACTTACCAAGAGTCTTTTTTATGCAGTTGGACAACATGATCATTAGAAGGGTATTTAGGAGTGATTTACATGGGGATCAGTGTTCTGAAAAGCAGAAAAGACAGTTTTTTGTAAGAGTTAAAATAGCAGATTAGAAACAAGATAAAAATAAGTAAAATTCCCTTGGTTTGTGTGTAAACTGGTAATTTTGTTGTGACCTGCTCCCACAGAGCTCTACTTAGACCAGATTCATGGCTTGTTTTCCTTATTTTCTAGCATGATCCCATTTCATATTTTTTTTATGCAAAACAACATTCATGTGATGTCCCCAACAAAGTTTAATGCCTCATTTTCGCTGCTCTGAACATTTTAGCGCGATCAGTGCTAATGTGTCCATTACCAAAAGCATTCCGTGTAGAGACTAGAAATGCCAAGTTACGGCCATCAATATACTGTCACCAGAGGGCGCCGCTCATCGGAATGTATATTGATTTGTTCGTTACTTGCCTCACAAAATCGTTAATCTGCTGAGTTGTCAGTATCTTGGCTTAAAGGACGGATGCCCAAAATAACTCCCTATTTCAGCCAAATGAACCCTCTCAAGGCTGAAGAGATCTATGGTGAATGGGCTATAAAGCACAGGCCTTGATAAGCTTTGATCATACTGATAATGTTCATTTTCATTATCAGTGATGCTATTATGGTAGATATCCAAGAAGGTTATTGTTGTTATTCGAGAAGCATTGACTTTCTTGTTGATCCTTTTTATGGCCCATACCTGCTCCTGCAGTTCCACTTAAAAATGTGGAATCAAAAAGTGATGGAACCTGTTTAAGTCTTCATTTAAAAAACATTAATTCAAAAAAGAAATTATTTCAAAAGTCATTTGATGGATATTAAATTGCAAACTGTGAAGTTAATGAAAAAAGCACAGGACATTTTGCCAGAGGCTAGTTAAAAGGACAAGTGACAATTACGACAATTACTTGTATACGAGCACTTTTGTTAATTGATAGATGGTAAATTTGTTGCAGACTTGTGTAACAAAAGGCTGTTTATGGTTATGAATTGAATAAGGCAGTTTTGAAAATGTTGAAGATTACCTGGTATTGACAATTGCTTTCAGCTAGAACTTTATTCATACAAAGTATGTCTTTCCATATCCGTTAATGATCTTCTACAAGGCAGAAATGTTGATCATTAAAGCAGCACCAATACAAAGTTCATCACTTCAGCGAGGATGTGTTTCCTGAAAAGGAACCACGTGTTATTTCTGCGCTGATTAAACAACTTTTGTTATTCTGATCAATACAGCAAATTTGACACTATGTATGAGCAGACGTGCGAACATTTATTTACTGTTAATAACGTACGCCTAATTACACCACCAAACCACGGCTTAGATCCAGATTCTGCATCAGCAAATGAAGGGGTTTAAACTGATAAATTGGTTTCCATGGTAACGCCATTACTGCCTGCAATGTGATTACTAGCATCTTGCAAAATACCCTATTCTCCAAGTGTCCAATAATAAGATTTTAGAACACCTCGATATTCCTACCAATCAATTTCATTGTAAGATGAAAATGAGAGACCGTTCACGCAAACAACACAGGCCGTTTTGTCGTCACTGCCGCAAAGATTTGCGTCAGACCAGGCAGATTGTTGGTTTGGCCTGGCTTCTAGAACCATATATGGCTGTAATGATGCTGTAAGAGATGCTTGATGGACCTGTCCCTCACTGTAGCCCAGTCGCTGTTCGGGGGAAAAAATCAATAATCTCACCTGCTACATTGTACCCTCGTTAGTGAAGAGCTCTTGCTTGGCTCGTGGCACGGAGATTGGTCCAGAACTGTGGAGGCGGGTGCTTACATGGAATATTTACCTTCCATCACTTGACCTTTAAACAGAGTGTTATGAAAGGACTAAATGAAGCGAATAATTTCAGGGTTGGATTCAGGCATTATGCAAGACTTGAGAGAAAGAAAACAGATTTTATTGAACTGTTGATGGATGAACTGCCTTTGAAAACATTACGTAAAGTGATGTTTTCGGAGCTGTAGCATCAACACCAGAATTGAGTTGAAGATTTTAATTTTCAATTCGACTCTTTGGTACTTTTTCTTCCACCCTTATCAGACATATGACCCAAAACTAAATTATTCACAAGAAAAGTGAGAACCACTTCTGTGATACCATATCAGTTTTTGACAAATATGCTAGCCCACTAGACAGATACAAGTAGAGATTCCTCAGGACTAGTAATGTAACCATGGAGATCCAAATGGCTGATAGGAAATATTAAACGTTCATTTCCTGTTGTTTTTTGTTAATCTTTTCTTTATAGTTTAACAGAATAAAAATGATAACTAAATTTGAATTAGCAGTTCCATTGTCATGACTGATTTAAAGTTGTGTAGAAGAATTCAGATGACATTAAACTGAGGATCAAGTGATATTCTGTTGTGCCTGTCCTGTTAGTTACATCATATATGATGTGTGTGGGGGGGGAGTGCACGCGTGTACATGCATGCATATGTGCATATAAACCACTGAGTGAAAACAAATTTGGTTTAGGGTAATGAGTATGGTATTTGCAACATTTACACCAATATTACAAGGCAAACTTGAAAATGGAATATTTCCCCAAGATTCAACTTAATACCTGTAATATGAGGTTATAGGTTGGATTGTTTTAATGAATAAATAATAATATTGAAATGAATAATTTGTTTTTTTTTAACTCAAGCAAATAGTATTACAATGTTTTTCAGGTCATTGTGATGTCATTAGTTACCATGACAACATAATGAAATGACATCATTATTCTCTGGCAATGCAATGGGTTAGCTGTACGTTTTGCACTCTAGACACTTGTTATTATTGTTATAAACGGAAGTTTGACAAATGGTTTAGGATGAAAATTGGAATGGGACCCTTGTGTCATTTGATAAAAAAAATGTCAGCACTCTGGAAACCTCAGAGTTGTCAACTCATGTTGATATATTTGATATCAGAAGGACCCTGGGGTAAGATTCACCGTCTTTTAGTCTGTACCAACAATTCAAATTAATTATATTTTGCAATGTTTTCTTTGTTTTCAATTTGGAAAGATTGGAACTTAGTTCATAATGATAAGTAGTCGCTTTTGTCTTTGAAGAAGACTTTTGGTTTGAAAAGACAGTGCTCTCCCAAGCAATCTAGTGAGGAAGCATTCGAACTGTTTTGGGCAAAAAATAACCACAGATTGAATGTGTTATGATATGCACATTCTTTCCTTGGATCATATAGAAGTACAATGATTTGTTCATTAATGCTGCTGTATAATACAATACCTGTTTTGTTGTCATGTCAAAATTGTTCTTAAATTATTCAGTTTTGAAGTTTGTTTTTGTTAATATCATTAATGTGTTTGATTAATTAAAACTAAGACACAAATTCAAATGATCAGGTTATAACAATCTTGAAGGAGTGTGATATTTCTTTTGAAATGTAGGTTTTCAATTGTGAAATATGTTGTATTTTTATTATAACAATAGTTTAAATGCAATAAGACAATGCAATAATGTTGATGCTCTCCAGAATATAGTTGGTACAATTTTGACGAATCTTGATCCATGTTGTGACAGTGTGCTATTGTTTTGATGCTGAGCTATATTTTGTTTGCCTTGTGCAGGTGAGCTACATGGAGATCTACTGTGAACGTGTGCGAGATCTCCTCAACCCAAGCAACAAGAATGCGCTACGAGTCAGGGAACATCCATTGCTGGGACCTTATGTAGAGGATCTCTCGAAACTAGCTGTCCAGTCATTTGAGGACATCAAGAACCTCATTGATGAAGGAAACAAAGCAAGGTACAATGATACGAACGATCAGCTCTTGTGGCAAAATGTACAGTCAGCTGTACATCCGTCACTCTTGTGGCAATATGTAAATTTAGCTTATGTGGTAAAAGGTTTCAGCTTGTGTGGCAAAATGTAAATGGAACTTGTGTGGCAATGTGTAAATTCAACTTAGTGTCAATTTGCACATTCAGCTCTTTTGGCAATATGTAGATTTATCTTGTGTGGCAACATGTACATTCAAATATTGTGTGGCAATTAAAGAATGAACTCTCTGGAACTTTGGGTTTAGCAGTTCTAATAAAGTCCTTGAGGTAAATCTTAGGACGTAAGTGATGCAGGGAAGTATGAGTTTGTTTTTGGTGATGAACATAAGATGAGTCTGATGTGAAAGGACCAGCTTCTCATGGCTGAACGTGTATCATCATCAGGTGAAAAGAAAATTAACCAGTCTGTATGAATGATTTCAGAACTGTGGCTGCAACCAACATGAACGAGACCAGCAGTAGATCTCACGCCGTCTTTACCATCATCTTCTCACAGCGCCGATATGACTCGACCACAAACATGATTGGAGAGAAGGTGGGCTAACATGGTCACTCAACTCTAACAAGACTAATAGGGGCGGTGGGGTAGCCTAGTGGTTAAAGCGTTCACTCGTCATGACAAAGACCCGGGTTTCGATTCCCCACATGGGTACAATGTGTGAAGCCCATTCTTGGTGTTCCCGGCCATTATATTACTGCAATATTGCTAAAAGTAGCGTAAAACTAAACTCACACTCACTCACTGCATCAAGACTAACAAGATATTTATATGCAACAACCTGCCGGTCTTTGGTTATCAATTGCCTGCACTCACGAAATCATTCTCGGGGATGGAATTCAACAACCTTGAATTTGACATTTGGTGGAATTGATGGGGATTTCCCATCTGAAGTGTGCCCAACACCTCAGAGCTGACTTGGTCTACAGTATCCCTTGCTTGTCGTAAAAACTGACTACAGATACAGTGTAACATTCGAATGCCATTGCGTTGAAATACTGAAAAACATTGGAATCACAGGACTGATGATCATGCTTACAACACCCAGTTTGACTTCTTTGATTGGCACCACTTGCTTGACAGCGACATTAGAATCTATGTCGAAACGTCGCCTATATAGAATAAAGAAGTTGTATATCCGTAAAAATAGTCCTCATTCAACACCCAGTTTGTTTGTCTCTAAAACAGTCTCCACTCGTGGGGAGGTGGGGTAGTCTAGTGGTTAAAGCGTTGGCTCGTCACGCCGAAGACCCGGGTTCGAATCCCCACATGGGTACAATGAGTGAAGCCCATTTCTGGTGTCCCCTGCCTTGATATTGCTGGAATATTGCTAAAAGCGGCGTAAAACCAAACTCAGTCAGTCAGTCAGTCAGTCAGTCTCCACTCGTATTTTATAATCAAAGTGAACAACCGTATACAGCACAGAATATTTTTAAGATTTGGATCTGTGGTTAAATGGGATAAAATTATCTTATGTGTGTGCTTCATGAAATTGATAATTGTTATATAAATTCCTACCATGAAATTTGTTTAGGTCAGCAAAATCTCCTTGGTTGACTTGGCTGGCAGTGAGAGAGCAGACTCGACAGGCGCAAAGGGAACTCGCTTGAAGGAGGGGGCCAACATTAACAAGTCCCTGACCACCTTGGGCAAGGTCATCTCCGCCCTGGCAGAAGTGGTAAGGCCATGTAGATATACTTGTTTGTCATCAGTGAAGCGTGATATTTCACTCAGGGACAGACTTCAGTATTTTTGTGTTTATGGAGTTAAACATGCTGATTTCCTCATTGTGAATACTAGTTTTATAACGGCGTATCATGTGGGGCATATAGTCAACACCTTGTCCTTCCGCTATCGTTTTGTTTCCAGAGAATTACTCAAAAACTGTTCAATATTTTTCAGCAATAATAGGTAGAAACTAAATGATGCCTTTCACTATTTGCAGACTTTTTACAGTTAGAACTCCATAGATGCAAAAATACCGTTCAAGTTGTTTCTTCAATCATGAACTCAAACAACTGTACATACCAATATGAAATCACTGACATTGTTAATGCTGTAATCCAATGAAATACCCACTCATTCTATTGTCAGGAGAGAGTCCATTATTGGGCGTGGCCTAATTTGTTTTTTGGCTTATGAAGATGTAAACCCTAAAGGTTAGCCAGTAAAATGCCATGGACTCACCAGCATTTTTTCCAGAGGGGTGTTTTCCATCAATGTTTTTACTTTTTCTAATAACTTTCCAGACCAATAAAGAATTCTAACAATTTATTGTTCACATAAGTCAATGTCTTAGAAATACTGATTTTTCTTGTTCAGAATGAAATGAAACTTTGTGACTATCAGTATTGGATGTAGCGCGAGAAGAAACTGTCAGTTCATATCCTCATTCCTCTTGTCGAAAGCGACTCATGTTTTCTCTCTGTTTTCAGAGCGCGGCACCAGTAAGTGATGATTCGATGTGCAACATTGCCTTTATTTCTTATCGTTATTCTCTTGATTTATTTTTTTTCATCATTTCATTTGGAGGATGCCTTCATGTAGCTGGATTTCATTCAGTCAATGTGGACACCTGTTGAAAACTTCAGATTAATTTCAGTAATCGGTGATAGATAGGACCTCTACTCTGAGACCTGTTGACATTTTTTAGGCTCATATTGTCATTCCAACAATCTACAAATATCCCATGCTGTATATATTCCACATGACTTGGGGCAGCCTAATGGTTAAAGCATCCACTCGTCACGTCAAAGACCCGGGTTCGATTATTAAATAAGTTACAATGTGTGAAGCCCATTTCTGGTATCCCCCACCATGATCTTGGAATGTTGCTAAAAGTGGCGCAAAACTAAAATCACTCACTCACTCCACATGACTTGTATTAAATCACCTACACTGCTTTCAGGGCCTGAATCAGGAGTGAAGCCATTGCCTCTAATATTGCCCCATTGTGTAATGATGTAATTGCCAACTCCCAGTGATACTGGAACGTAATTCATGAGGGATGTACTGGAGATCCCTAGAGAATGCTGCTGACATGCAAATAGCTTCAGTATTTATGTCATTGTTCAGCATAATGCATTGGTGATGCTGGACCCATCTGGAGAGAATATTTCCAAGATAGAATAGGTCTGTCGGCAGGTCCATGTCATCCAACAACAATATTGATTATTTTGGGGTCGCTGTGACATTGCTGCCTGTAGTGGGAAACAACCAAACCCTGCAAGTTGTTAATAAATTGGTCAATTCTTTTCAAATATTAATTTTGATTTGTCAAAAATGATGCCTGTGCCTTCTGTGGCTCAGTTGGCAGAATGAGTTTGACAAGCATTTCGACAGGGAATGTTAATTTATGATAATCACAATAATATTTCTGTTGACATTTTCGATGTTTGGAAAAGGTATTCAGGGAATATGAAGGCATCTTGTCTATTTGTGAAAGATTTCTGTCAGCCATTGCCTCGGTGAACAGGTCATAATTTTCTTTTGTCTATGTATTTTTCCTTGTTTAAGAATCAGTGCTTATATGCTTATGTTTATGCATGAATTGATGTAGTCATCTATATACTACTGTGTAATGTTCGGATTACATTAAGGGGCGGTGGGGTAGCCTAGTGGTTAAAGCATTTTGCTCATCACGCCGAAGACCCTGGTTCAATTCCCCACATGGGTACGATACGTGAAGGCCATTTCTGGTGTCCCCCGCTGTGATATTGCTGAAATATTGCTAAACAGCAGTGTAAAACCAAATTCACTCACTCACTGTAATGTTCAGAACAAATTATATTATTAGGTTAAATCAATTATTGATGTAAGGCAATATGATACCAAAAGGAATCATACAATTAGAAGCATGACACATGCCTCAAGATTGTAGAGAGCTGCATTTCTCAAAGCCTTCTTAGCACTAAGACAACTGACTTAGCATTGACTTACGACAGCTCTTGGCTGAGATTAATATGGTTATGTACTATATCATCTTAAAGTATCATGAACACAATCTTGATGAAGTGAAATATCAAGAATTGATAGTGACCCATAACTTCATCCACACACATTACCCTGTTGGTGAAACATGACATAAGGGGCTTTTAGGGTGGCTGAGTGGTGAAGGTGTTCACCAATCACACCTAGGTTTGTTTCTATAGTACGGTCTATGATATATACATTGGGTTTTCCTGCCATGATGTATTTAAATACTGGAATGTCAGAAAAATGCATCAGACTGTCGAGTGACTCCTGCGCCATATCCAAACCGATGTTCGGTCTTCTGCCATGGTGTAGTAGAAACATGTCCTTGAGTGGCGTCGAACTGTCAACTGATACAAAAGGCCTGTCAGGGATATTTGGTTATTCTTTTGTTGATGTATTTGACTGAGAACATGTGGAATCTGTATCAGGCCAACAAGAAGAAGAAGAAGAGTGACTTCATCCCATACAGAGACTCTGTCCTCACGTGGCTGCTGAGGGAGAACTTGGGTAAGACTAGTTTACAACTTTGATGCATAGTTCTTGTCCTGTGTAATAGGCTGTCGACATTGACACTGACGGTGGGCATTAGACCAGGGTTTATCTTGACTTACAAAAGTGGGGGTCCAGGGGATTTCATCAAGACATTTTACGGGTCCTTGCTGGTTCTGTGAGGGTCGTGTGAAGTATTGAAATATTGTTGTAATCGAGGTAATTACTGGATTGAAACAGGCATCATGTGGACAGTGGTCATGACTGATCGGTAAAATAACAGACAGATACCTACTCTTGATGCGTTGGAGGTAGACTCTCTTTCATTTTGTGCATCTCTCTGAACTCGGTATTTTGAGTGTTCTGCATTCATTCTCTACATTTGCTCGTACTGAATGTACATTTCTGCGTCGGGTAAAACCCTGATGGACCTTTGAGAATATTCACACTCTTATAAGTCGGGGCCTCAATCGATTTATTTCATCAGAGTCCCCAGTCAGGGAGCATGTGCTTCAAGTTTGTTCTTAATGTGTTTCAGGTGGAAACTCCAAAACTGCCATGGTTGCCGCTCTCAGTCCAGCAGACATCAACTTTGATGAAACCCTCAGCACACTCAGGTGAGTTCCGTGTAAACATCAGCAGCCATTAACCGAGACAGAATCAATGTTCACTTGCTTTGAAATACTTTGTTTCAGTTTCTCTATCAGCTAAAAAGGTTTACTTTGGAATCTATTAATTCTGGTGGTCATGATAACCATTTGAAATCGGATCTTTTGTCAGTTTGGTTAATACTAGGTGGAATAAAGTGGATAGAATTGAAATGAATAATCAAAACTCTTATGTGTGAATTGAATTATTTTATATGTTTTATCTGTTGTCAAATCATATCACTGCAACTTGGACAGTGTTTTTTCATGTTTCGCGTTAAGGATTGACAAGAGGATATCCTTGTAGTCAGTTATTTTTATCTCACATGAGTTAGAAAAACAAGGAAATAAAGTGATCCGCAGTCATCATGAAAATTAGGGCAGTGCCCATTTGCAGAGCTCCTTAACCATTGAATTTCTTTACAGATCTAAGCATGAAATGTTACCTTTTGATGATGGACGAATTTTAATATATTTGTTTGAGACAGGATAGGTATAAAAGAATACACAAAAAAAACGAAGATGTTGCTCTTTTTCAGAGCAGAAATATAATAAGGCGAATACTTCTTTATGAAACCAGATGTACAGAGCAGTGTACTGGTTTATATTTTGTCATTTTTTTATGTTTTCATGACAACAATTTGAACTTGAACTGAAAATAAGGGTAGTGGTCATTACCAGTGCAGAACTCCAAAACATTTGAATAATCTTCATGATGTTTGCGACACAGATCACTGTATTTTCAAAATGGTACTTATGGATGATTTTCAAGTGTTTTTTCTGTGTTTACTCTCCAAAAAACAATACTTCATGAAATATACGGAATACAATGAGTGAAGCCTATTTCTGATGTCCCCTGCCTTGATATTGCTGGAATATTGCTAAAAGCGGCGTAAAACTGACTGACTGACTCTCTCACTCGTGAAATATACTTCATTTTTACTGTGCAATTTTCAATTATTCCAGATATGCTGATCGTGCCAAACAGATTATGTGCAAGGCTGTGGTTAACGAGGATCCGAATGCTCGGTTGATCCGAGAGCTCAAGGAAGAGGTAGCAAGGCTGAGAGAGCTCTTGGCTAGTGAGGGAATTGAGATTCAAGCAGGTGGGTAGAGTTGTCTCCCTTAAGTATCAGCTAAATCTGAGCTTCTTGCTCATACCGGTATGGAGGTTTCATTTACAAAAAAAGCATGTAGACTACATGTTTTCTTTTAAATTTTTTTATCAGTTTCTATGAAGGTACTGACACAGACACGTGAAGATTTGGGTAAGAATTGCTCTTCAACAACCAATGCTTGTCGTAAAAGACGAGAAATGGGATTGGGTAGTCAGACCTGTTGACTTGGTTGATGCATGTCATCAAATCCCAATTGTGTAAGTCAACACACATGATGTCAATCCCTGGATTGTCTGGTCCAGACTTGATTATTTAGAGACCACTGTCATATAGCTGGAATATTGCTGCGTGTGACGCTAAACAACAAACAAACAGATTTCTGATGCAGGTTTATGTATTTTTTAACACAGTAAATTTGAACATTTTTCTTACGACAGATGCGTTTCACTTCTTGTGAATTTTTTAAAAGTATTTCTTTATTAAAACTGTTACTTTTACCTCTTCTTTTCCCAGTTGATTCAAATTCTGACAATCCCGTGAAGTTTTCAACGGGTAAATTGCACTAAAAAGCACTTTCCCACATGGCAAAAAGACCTTGAAGTCCTCTCCCTCTGTGGTATCTCTAGAGGGGCATTCAAAAACACTGAGGATAAGTCGTAGTATTTGGGACAATTTATTCCACTGTTTAGATCATTTTCATTTCTTAAAGGAATTTTGTCTGCTGTGGTAGTTTTCTGTAGCTAAATATATTTATGGTCAGATAATCATATCAATGGATTGCAGTATTAAATCCTTTTGAAGATTTTTGTATATTAAATCTAAAGATTATGAATTATAATTATTAACCATTGATGGAGTGACAAGCTAGTGTATATGACATATCCTCTTCCATTAAACTGACTCCACCATTGAAGAAAAGCCTCAGATTCTCCCAACAGTCCAAGAGACGATCCTCATTTAGCATCAGTGATTTGAAATATACAGAACAGATTGACGGCTCCACTTTTAACTCACCACATTATTCTGTCCCCATGTCCCTCTATACCACCACCAGAGGTGGAGGACTTCACACCATTGCTTTCCATTGCGCAAGAAGCCACTCATTGCTTCCAATATGCCACCACCATTCATTACCTTTGTCTAAGTTGCCTGCAGAAAAGTAGAACAAATTGTGTTCATAGTCGATCAATCCAGGTTTTCTTCCACATGAAGGAAAAAAACCTGTGAATCAGGACAGTTACATTCCTAGAGAATGCGTCCAGATAGTTTTACAAATGTCGTTTTATGTATACCGCTGAAAAAAGTTAAGGATCACTCGTTTCTTTCAATTTCCCAGTCAATTGCATAAACAGAGTGACGACAGTGATATGATAGACTAACATCTAGTCTCTGAAATAAACATATTATACTTTGAAAACAGTTCCTAATAGTTCATTAAATATATTAAAAGGATCCCAGATACTCATTTTCAGAAATTGATAATCTGGACTTACCACACATATTCTTGACTTGCATGGGCTGAACAGGGTATATTTGTTTCAGGATCTGTATGACAGACAAGCAGTTTGATTGAATTGGCTGATCCTTAGCTTTTTGAGGAGTGTACAGAGTTATGTGTCTAAATAAAGATGGACATTTCCAATGATAATTGTCATCAAATTGGTATTCCCAGATTAATTGGTTCAGAGATGATAAAGTTTTACTGTAACTATCTGAGATCTACAGATGCCTGTGTTGTAATACTCCAGTTCCAACAGTTGAGTTCCAACAATTTGGAAATGGCATTAAAGTTGTATTTAAATCAGACTGCTGTTTACATGTAAAAAGATAACCACATCAGCATCAGAAGCTTCCTTGCCCTGTTCCTGCTGCCTTGTAAAACAACCCCTTTGTCAAAACATGCTAATACTTAATAAGTGGACCAAATATGTTGTTATTGAAGAAGTATTGCTTGTCTCTGCATCAGCAGTTATGCAGCTTTTCCAGTTGATCATAAGTCTCCTGGAAAATAGTTTCTCCATTGTTAACATCAATGTGGATAAGTGCATGAATAATTTGTAACAAACTGAAGCTTAATGCTTAGTTTTGCTCACATTAGATCATTGCATGATAGTAACATTAGCATGATGAAAACAAAATTTAAATCTATACGTGAAAAGATGTCATGGAAAATTCTCAAAATTAATGTTTTTCTCAATCACTGATCTTTTTTTGACCGTCGCTATAATTTATGAGAGAGGAAGATTAAATATTTAATGCTTTTCAGTGAGTTGGGTATAGAATATTGGGCACTTTCCCTGCAGTTTTTAATGTTGTGTCTCCATGTAGGTAATGGAAGCATGTCCGAGCATGTGAAGGCCTTGCGTGCTCGGAAGAACTCTGTGACTATTGACGGAGGGGAAGATGCAATGGAAAGACTCCAGATGTCGGAGAAACTAATTGCTGAACTGAATGAATCTTGGGAAGAAAAACTCCGTAAAACAGAGGCCATCCGCAAGGAAAGGTGAGAGGTTGTTTTGGGTTTGCTTGAGATTGATGAAAGAGAGAAAGCATTTTTGACAGCTGATGAAGGGCAACTGGTTCTTAAAACTTTAAAACTCACTTCAGCACTCCACAGACAAAATTGAAAGCGTCTATTTAGTTCATTTCAGCTCAGTTAAAGGATGAATTCTTTAAAAATATTTGAGAGACAGAAGTATTTCAAGTTGGCAATGTTTTAAGCCAACAACACTCAGAAGATGGTAGACAGAATATTATCATGACATCAAGGTTCTGAACTAGTGTAACAAGCAGCATGACATATGTTGTGTTCTTTTACCTCAGAGAGGCTGTGCTGGCCGAGATGGGAGTAGCTCTTAAAGAAGATGGAGGAACAATTGGTGTGTTTTCTCCTAAAAAGGTAAGAGATCTGTTTTACCTTTTGCTTATTTTCACTAACTCGCCCTTTTGCAGTCTTTGTGTGTTGTTCACAGTCACTTATTGGACACGAAATTACAAAGTCTGTCTAAAATGATGATCATGTGTTTCCAATGTGTACCTGGCCCATTAGATTGTCGGTCTACCACAACAGTGAAGATTTGGGTTAGAATTGCTGGCTAACGGAATTGGGTGGTCAGGCTCGCCGACTTGGGAGGTGCCGGTCATTGTATCCCCATTTTTCAGATCAGTCAGTCACTATTTTGCTTGTCAATACTGGATTGTTTACAGACCGCTGTCATATATATTGCTGGAATATTGCTGATTACGGTGTTAATCAAGAAACAAACTAAATATCACTTTGGTGTTTGTTAACCACTGATCCCACGCAGGGGTGAAAATAACTTTAAAATTGCTAATGTACTCCGGTACAGTGGCACATGTAAAATCACTTCCCTGATAATTTTTCCACTATACTGGCTGATTTTCTTATTGATTTTTTAAATAAACAACATAATTAACATTGGAAAGTCAACTGGACAACGGTTCAGCATGATGTACACATTTGCTAGCCCAACAGAAAAAAGCACTGGACTGGGGCGTCGGGCAATGGGTTATTTCCACCCCTGCCATGTTGTATTACTGACCTGCAGAGATGAGTAAACATGGTTTGGTTCTTGGAGGGATGTAATACACCCTAGATAAAGATTATGACAAAACAAAACTCCTTCCCATTCATCCCAATTCAGACATCTGACTGGATTTTGTGCTGGGCATTTCTATCTAAACCAAGGTGTTCAGTGTTTCCTTTGTGAATTGTATATACATGTATATGTATAAGTGGGCCCTGGGTTAGTGTCTAATCACTCAGATAGCTAACCATACTGTTGACTGAAGTTTTTGAAAGGCATTTAGAATTTGAACGAACATGAATACATGACAAGTTGTATGGATAACAGCTTCCTTTTTATTTATTTCACAACGTTTTAGAGCTAATTCTTGCTCCTTCAAAGAAGAATAAAAAATAAATTGTCATGTATTCATACTGTTGACCTCTGGTCCTGGATCGGTTTGTTCACTTATTGCGATACTGTTGTGATAATCCCCCTTCCTACTTTCAGACCCCCCATCTCGTCAATCTGAATGAGGACCCTTTGATGTCAGAGTGCCTCATCTACTACATCAAGGATGCGACCACTAGGTGAGGGAGGAGTGCAAACATGTTGATATGTTGTCCCATTTAGAATTACTTTGGTTTAAACACTTTAGAACTTGGGATGTACAATATTGAACTATATGGATAACAACTTGTTATATTTTGTGAGTGCGATGCTTCTATAAAGACGATTGTACTGTTTTCAAGCAGGAATTCCAATGGTACAAGAATCGGTATCGAAACATCACACTTACGACAAAAAAGAAGTTGTTATCCATAAAGTTTGTTCAATATTATTTTGGACATTTCCAGTATTTTGGACAGGCAGTTTGCCTTTGAGTGCATACCTGGTACATGTGAGGCAGGTGTGAAAGCTCTGAATCCCACCCTGAATAGATAACCCAGGTAAATCTCTGGACTAGGAAACCCTCTGAAATGCCTAACTTGGAATTTTTGTTTTATATTAAGATATGTTTACATCACACTGAAAATTAATTCAGATGAAAAAATCTTCCATTTTCTTTTTGTCTCCTAGAATTGGTCGAGCAGAGGCAAAGAATCTACAAGACATTCAACTGAATGGAACCTACATCTTAGAGGAGCATTGTCTGTTTGAAAACAATGATGGTAAGAAACTTCTGTGGCTCCTTGATACTAATAATCAGTCCAGAGAAGATATTGGCATTCCCCTTTTTATATACATTGAAACCCTGTTTGAAGCAGAACTTTCTTGAAAAGATTTTTTGCAACTTTTCATACCTTGGCAAAGTGGAAAGATTTTTCTCTTCTTTAAACGCTAATTTTTATTAATCATTAATCATGCAATGATAGTAACAATAACTATAGTACAGGTTCAACAGAATCCACTGCTTCTTCATATTAGAAACATTAGTTCTTTGGAAGATACCACCTCCTTTGGCACTTTTGGTAATAGAGTCTTGAATTTCAATAAATATGAAACATCATTCCCTTAGTGAGCTTATGAGGACTGACCTGACACTTACTTCTGCAGAAAATGTGACTCTGGTGCCATTTGATGATGCATTGTGCTATGTGAATGGGAGACAAGTGATGGAGGCTACTGTCCTGAAGACTGGAGCTCGGGTGATCCTTGGGAAGCACCACGTCTTCCGCTTCAACCACCCCCAACAAGGTGGGAACTAGTGCTGGATATCGATCACAATATTCAGAACCAAAATTGATCAATAATGGATTTTAATTGTAACCCCAACCACAAAACTCATGTGGACAACAAGGGAACACAATCATAACATTGTGCAACCGAAATTAATACCATGATCAGGTCGATCCAGGCTACTTCTGTTTATAATGTTACGAGTCACGATCAGGAAGCTGCATCAGTTGTTTATGTCTTGATTTAACCAACATAACAATAGGAATAACTTTCTGAAGTTGATGTTTTATTTTATTCAGCGACCCATGCTTATCATAAGAGGTGACTGAAAGGATCGGGTGGTCAGGATAGCAGACTTGGTTGACACATGTCATCATATCAAAAATGCGTAGACTGATGCTCATGATGCTGATCACTAGATTGTCTGGTCCAGGCTCGATTATTTATAGCTGGAATATTGATGTGTGCAGCGTTAAAGAACACACCAACCGACCAAGTAACAGCTCCTTCTTTAAGTCTTTGGTTTGCCAAGTCCTGGCTTGATCATTTTCAGGCATGAGATATAGCTTGAATATTGCTATCTGTTCACTATTACATTCACTCACTCACTCCACTGACAGGGAATGTAGACATAAGCATGTTTTGAGCTCACTTGTATGATTCTCAATAAGCATATTTTGTTTTCAGCTCGCCTGAGTCGTGCACTGATGACAGAGTCCATTGACATACCTATATGTAAGTATCACTGTGCAGCTAGTGTTCCCTTTCATGTTCAGGCTCACCCCAGCTGTAATGTGGCTGAAATATTGCTATTAGCAGTCAACAATGCTCCTCATTCACTCGTCCTTGTGATTTGGAAGTTTTACCTGAAGTCATGGTAGTGCATACTATAGAAATGATCCCTACTTGTTTCAGTCTTGCATGTAAATATGCAAGGATAGAAACTGGCACTTACCTGCCAACCCAGATCGTTTATTTAATGTTGAAGATATTTCATGCAGTGCAGGACATATAGCTTTACGTTATGACCAAGCTGTCTTTGTTAAATGCTATTCCTGTAATATGTTGTGCAGATACTGTTTAATTCAAAGTATGTTCTTAGTTTCCAAGCACTGACAAAACTGAGAACTGAAAGATGATATTCCACGTGTCCTGTTAAAGTAATAATTCTTTGAAATACTTTACCTCTATTGCATCATAGCTTTAACATATGTTTAGTCCAGACTCGAATATTTACAGACCACTGCCATATAGCTAGAATATTGCTGAGTGCAGCGTTAAATAACAAACAGACAAAATTTCTGATTTAGCTTCATGCATGGTTGGAAGGTTTTATGTTGAAGTGTTTGAGTGCATACCTCATGAGTGCTGTCAGGCGATGGTGTAGTCTAGTGGTTTTAAAAGTGATGTAAAACTAAACTCACTCGCTCACTCATGAGTGCTGTTTGTTGAAGCTGAGCCGGTGGACTGGAGTTTTGCTCAGTTGGAGCTGCTGGAGAAACAGGGCATTGATCTCAGGAAGGAGATGGAACAAAGGTCAGTTCAGCATCCATGGGGCATTTAGCTTTGGGGAGCAAATTACTTGTGGCTAGCCTATTGGTTAAAGTGTTGTCTTGACTGAGGTCAGTCCTGCTTCCATGGGGATTTAGCTTGGGGAGCAAATTACTTGGGTCACAAGCTTAGTGGGTAACCAAGTTGTTGAAGTGTTGTCTTGTCATAGGCACTGTTTTCATATCTGATAGTGGGTGGTGGGGTCACCTAGTGGTTAAAGCGTTTGCTCGTCACATGGAAGACCCAGGTTTGATTCCCCATGTGCCATATTGGTACAATGTGTGAAGCACATTTCTGGAACATTGCTAAAAGTGACATAAAATGATACTCACTCATATCTGATAGGGTACGATATGTGATGGTCAGTGATTGTGTCATTCCACCATTATAGTGACAGAATATTGCTAAAATCCAAAACCAGAATCACTCTCTCGCAATCATTTTTTTGTGGTAGTATGAGTGAAGTGATAGGTCTATGGGTGTTCCTAAATTGTTGTTGATGAACGATTATAAAGTTTTGCTGATAAACAGGTTTTGTAGAAAGCGTTATTGTGATAGTATGCATGGAGTGTATATCTGTGATGTCTGTTGCTAGGTTACTGAACCTGGAGGAACAGTATCGGAAGGAGAAGGAGGAAGCAGACATACTGTTCGAGCAGCAGAGGAAGGTACGCTTGTTGACACTTGTTCCCTCGGGCGGTAGGGTAGCCTAGTGGTTAAAGCGTTTGCTCGTCATGCCCTAGACTCGGGTTCAATCCCAAATATGGGTACAATGTGTGAAGCCCATTTCTGGTGTCCCCTTCCGCGATATTGCTGGAATATTGCTAAAAATGCGTAAAAACCAGACTCACCCACTCACCCACTCACTTGTTCACTTGACAGACAGAAGAATGGAGAAGAAAGGTTTTCATAGTGAATGTTGACTATTTAACTTTCACTCACTCTGGCATGGGATAGTTCAAAGTAAGGTTGAGATGTCAAGGTGCAAGTTCATAAGTAGGGTTTGAAGGCACTGAAGGACTAATTTGTCTTGCTGGCTGTACAGAAACTGTTGATTATGCAAAGAGGAAGGAGACAAACCAAGATCCATCAACAGTCCCTTGAAGGGTTACAGATGCTGGAGAATGAACAATGATACATTTGTACGTAAAATCGTGTGATCTACATGATACTTGAAAGACCAGTGGGGACAACAGGTGACAGAACAGATCAGGTGGTCAGGCTTATTGACTTGATTGATGGCATATCATTGTGTCCCAATTGATTGATGTTTATAATGTCAATCACTGGATTGTCTGGTCCTGATAGATTATCACTGATAGTGGCACTCAGTTATTATCTGCTGCCCTACAGCTTGAATATCGATAAGTGTGACTTTAAACAACAGACTGGAGATGTAAACTATCACTAAGTGTGGCTTTAAACAACAGACTGGAGATGTAAACTATCGCTATGTTGCAGGACTACGAGTTCCGCATCCAGTCACTGCAGGAGCAGGTGGAGAGACACTCCATGATGTCCAGCTGTGTCACGGACGACTTCTTCGAGGATGAAGATCCGGAAGGTAGGGTCTTTATTTACATAACTGTTTACTATATTAAATTGTACGAAAGTTTTTTCCAGACTTTGGCAGAATCGATTGATTTGTAATTAAACTGACGTTTAAAGATTTACTCAGGAGCCATGTTTGGAGGGTATTCCAAGAAATATCTGTTTGACTGCTCGCAGTTTATCAGTATGATTGTCATTACACATAGATACTCCTTGACAAAGTTTCAAAACTGTGTGAACATAATGATGTACAACTTAGCGATTCTCTGAGAGTGTGAGTTCAAATACTGGAGGGGACTCCACCCAACAGAACTACTAGAATCTGTACTTTGCTGAGAAAGTGTAATCTCAAATATAACATATGGTATACCATGTATATAATATGTCTCTCTTCAGAATGTAAGTGGACGAATCGAGAGAGAGATTTGGCTGCTTGGGGTTTCCGGAAATGGAAGTATCACCAGTTCACATCACTCAGGGTGAGGAAACATCAGCATCTATCCCATAAACAATGTAGCCAGCATCTGTTATGTTTATACTAAAATTGTTATTTTTCCTTGTCCTGACTCATGATCTTTGCTTATCTCCCTTTCCCTTTCGAATGGTAGTGGAACACTTGAATCCCTTGAAGTTCCCGGAGCGGACGTACAATACTCACCCACGAGTTACCTCCCTTCCTCTTTCCCGCGCAAACGTACCATGTGACGTGCCCAGACTTGTCACTCTCTCCCTTTTGAGTATGTGAGATAGCATTGTTCTGCCAAGTTTACCAAGAGTTGACATGAAGCAGCTTATAACATGATTCTCAAAACTTGGTGGAGAATGTTAAGACTTTGCGTCTTGAAACTACTTTAATTAGGCCTCTAAATGTAATTCAAGAAACACCAGGAATTTAAAATGAGAACATTATGATACCTCAATATGGTATAAACTAAATTTGACAACAGAAGGAGAAAAAGCCCATGTGTAGCTTGCAGACAACTGATTTCAGTTGTGTCTATGGCTGAACACTCTTTTGTCGTGAGAGTTTACGTTTTATCCAAATCTGATTGGCAGTGCTTTAAGATAAGCTGACACAACTCTTAGCAACAATTTTCAAGCTGACTTTCCCTCATCCTCGGGAAATAAATGTTAAATATGTTTTGCTCGTGTATATTTCCTTGCAAAAGAGATTCTGAAAAGTATTGGGGTTTACTCCCTGGCTGCAAATGGAAAGGTTGCATGTTCGATCCCACTGAAATATCCTGAAAGTCCCTTTGACAAAGAGAATCCCCCGAAACAGGTGTTGGAGGTGACCCAACAGGTTCTTGTTCTGTTGACAGGATGACTTATGGGGCAGTGCAATATTCCTCAAAGAAGCCAATGCAATTAGTGTGGAACTCAACAAGAAGGTAAGACCTGATTTTATGATTTATCATTTTCTTGTAGGAATCAAACTTAGTGAAGACACATATTGTGGTATGTACAAAAGTCACAACAGAAGTTTCAGATAAATTATGTTTCATGCTGAATTAGTTTAAATCACTCAAAATCCAGTCTTTTGATTCTAATGGCTCTTGCAGGATATGTTTTAAAGGCACAATGTCACACATTTTCGACAATATTTGGTCCTATATTATATATATATATTGGGGCAAATCCACTCACTTAAGCTTCCTATTGATGCAATAAACGACTTATTATCCTTCATGCTCTGCCTGAAATCGATAATTGAAACTTCAAGGCGACCAGCTTCCAAGCAGAGAACACTTGCCATAAATAGAATGTAAACAATTGATGCATCGAAAACTGGTGGTGTTGTCGGTGTTTGCCGAACTGGTTTCAATCACATATTCATAAAAAGCGCTCCAGGGGACATAACTCTGTAAGGTTCACTTGAAGTAATGTTCGGTCGGTAGAGGGAAAGAGAGTTGATTTAATGCAACATTGCATTAATTCATTAGAACTTTTTAATTTAAAATTGTAATCTAAATATGTAATTCTTTTTTGAATGAATTATATGGTAGCTTTCCTGAGGGCTGATAGTTAGTATTATTGAGAGAAATGCATTATTTATTTTTAGAGAAGTGTGGTGTGATATAGTGCCTTTAATTAGTGTCCATTCTAAGACTCGACTAAACTAACTGGTATCCGACTCTCCCATAGGTTCAGTTCCAGTTTGTCTTGTTGACCGACACCCTCTACTCACCTCTGCCTGGTGATCTCATGAACCCTGAAGACAGGGACTACAGCAGACCATTCCCCAAAACAATCGTCGCCGTTGAGGTACAGGATACCAAAAATGGTGCCACTCATTACTGGAATCTGCAGAAACTTCGGTAAGTACACATGCATCTGATATTGACCTTTTACCATTTCCATCGCTAGATATCATGTGTATGCTTGAAATTCAAACATGTCAAACTTCATTGATCAGTGATAAAAAAGTTAATTTGTTTTCTGATTGAGATTCCAAACGGTATTATGTATGATGATACTTTTTAAAGTGATTTCTTCTTCTGAATGGTTATTTTGTAGACTGTTGCATTGTTGCAGTTTTTTGTTGTTGGTGGTCGCTCTGATTCCTTGTCACTCAGTGCATGTGTTGTATTTCCTTTGTTAAATATGTCATGCATCTTTATCTTTATTCCTGTCTATTTTTCTGTTTTATTTTTATTGAATTTTTGTAACTGAAATCAAGATTTTTTTCTCTAATTTGTACGTTTATTTATCTATGTACCGGTATAAGTGAAAATTTATTTGTAATTTTTTTGTTTTGATTGGAAAATATTTTTGAGCAGGTTAATTTACAGATCATATTTTGTAATTTTGATGTTAAAGCTTGTGTCTTGTATTTGTTTGTGGCTGTCCTCTCATGCTGTCTTGCTAGAGTTCTCTCCCCTGCCTGTTTCTTTCTGTTTAGCTTCTGGGCAAAGCTTGGAACTTGTGCCCGGTTTGTAAATACCTTTCCATTATCTTTTGATCCCCCCTTTTCAAATTTCCCTGAAATAATTTCCTGCAAGTTTTGGTTATCAATTAACAAATAACAAGCATGGGTTCCAACTTTGTCTAAGTCTCAAATATTTGATCATTTTGAATTACAAGTGCTTGAAACCTTTCAGGCACAAGCCTATTAACTTTCTTGTATTTTTTATGATTTTTGTGAAAAATGAAACTTTCAATGTTACAAAACTGCTTTGCTTTGGTTTTGGTATTATGTTTGCATATAAGGAATTAAGAATGTAAATATTGCCTTTAAAAGCAAAAGGATATTTTGATTTTCAAACATGTAGTTGTTCAACAGTTTTAATAGAGATACGAAAAAAGGTTAGCATTTTACAGACAGTGTATGGAAGAAAAGTATCTTTAGTTTTTTAAGTTGCCTCAATTTGCTCTTTTTGGAATACAGTTATTGATCAATATGAGTGCAAAATTGTCATCTGTCCTCAGCTACTTTTACGCGTAAGGTTGGAAAAACTTTTATTTTTCTGATATTGTTTAAATGAAACCAAAACCTATTTTTCTGAAACGTTTTTTTTTTTTGAAGCGAAGAAAATCCCAGAAGTGAACTCTCATTAAAACTTTTGAACAATTACTAATACGAAATACACGAAATAAAATGTGAAACTGTGAATTTCTTTTCCCACGCTTGACGTAGACAACGGTTGGAACATATGCGAGACATATACAATGAAGACCTGTCTCCGGACACGCCCGAGGCAAAACAAGATTTTTTCCATTGTCTCGCGGGTTGCGGACAACAGAACATGTTTAACTTTTATAACCTTATCCCATCCAGGTCGGTTACCCTGTTGTAACCTTGGTTTTTATTTTTGTTTTGTTTTTCAGTTTTCGTTGTTTTAGTTTTTGTTGATTTTAGTACTGTTTTTTTCCTATATTTGGGCTTTATCTTCAACTGATGATTGTGAAGGCCGAGATTTGTCACATTCACACTTTTGAAAGTTTTCAGTTGTACGTTGAAGGTAGGACTGGATGCATACTTTTTTCAACAAGGTTACATGATATTCTTGGGGAAATTTTGTTTTGAAATTCACTCATAAGTAAAATTAGAAGAAACAAGATTTATCAGATATAAATGTTTTTTTAACACAATTTCTTAAGCTTGGGAATTGCTATGATAAATTTTCAGGCATGCTGATTTGTCAACTGTTATCTGAAATAAAGTATTGTAATCTAAATAGAACAGGAAATATTACATTTATTACATTTTTACTGTTTGTATCAACAAAAGAAAAAATTAAAGTATTGACACAGTATCTCAAAGATTTATGCATCACAACCATGTTTTGGACCCATTTATATAACAGAATGTGCAAAAGTGTTATTTGAAAAATCCAATGGTGCATTCTGTGATAATTTCAGTGTCTGTAACTTTCCCAAAAATTTCAATAATTTTTTCATGCATATTGAAAGGAACCGTAAGAAGTGTGAAAAGTTTGCAGTTTTTTTTAATAAAAGAAGGAATTTTTGGTTTTCATAATTGGTCTTATCTTTTTGACATTGATGAATAGTCATACCTGTATTCCAGCTTGAATTTTGTTTTGAAGAAATTTACAGTTCCTTAAAAAAGATTTGTTATTAAAGTTTGAAAAAAGTATTTTTTCTGGCCTTGCCAATCATGCTGATGTTCATGGTGAATCGTTTCATTTGCAGCTTGTTACTGTGGTTACTTCCCATATGTTTTTGTACATTTCCAGTGACTGTCCAGTAAATACTGAATAGGGATTGTTTTTTTGTGAAACTTGTCATTCATTTATAGAATATAAATTGACCTTTTCTTCCACAATTGAACATGTATGAAGCCTTTGCAAGAGTTACGTAAGAAAGGATAAAAACTGTTTTGACAACGAAGACAGTGATCCTGCTCTGCTTTCTTTTTTTCCTGCTATATATCCCTCAACTTTATGTCATTCTTCAGCAGTCTTAAAAAGCCTATTTTGATGGTTAAATGGATTTAACCATAAAAACAGGCATAGTTTTGTTAAACAGTTTATAAATATTTTTCTAATGTTCATTATCCTAGTTGTTCTCTTCTGAAGTTTTCGCTTTGACAAATAACTGTTGTGATCACTATATTATGAGCCTTCCCAGACAGACCAGTGGTTGACATTGTGAAAACAATCCACTGACAAATAACCATTTAGATTGTCAATACACCAGTGTTACCCCTTTATATATAAAATATTGCTCGTCCAGATATTTCATAGTCTTTCTAAAGGAAGAAAAAGTCAGTTTTATTTCCTTGCTAAGTCTTACAGTATTTTTGTTTGACCTTGTACATGAGAATATCCACTGTATTGTATGATCTTACCCTAACAGCTAGTTACATTGAACATTACGATATTAACATCTGACATGGCACTTGTCAGAAATATTCAAGTCCTGCAAGGGCAACATTGTTTGCTAAAGCTGTGATTGGTTTGCAATGTTTGTTGGCATGGTAACATTAAAACACCTTTACAAGCCATTCTATAACTGGAATGTTTCAAAACTATGTTTAGGGGAATGATATATGGACAACAAAATGGTATCAGTTTTGTCTGTGGCTGTATTGTTACCCAGTGCATGTTACCCCGCTTTATACCATATCATTATCCCCCAGGTGTGCCACAATGTTCAGATTCCCATATTTGACTAAAATACGAACCTGTATTATCCTATATCTCTGCTCCTTGGTAGAGTAATGATTAAACAGTATCACCAATGTGGTGGGCGGTTGGTTAAAGTTGTGAGGTAGCCTTGTGGTTTAAGCATTCACTTGTCGTGCCAAAGGCCTTGGTTCGATTCCCCACATGGGTACAATATGTGAAGCTCATTTCTGGTGTCCTCCACTGTGATATTGCTGGAATATTGCTAAAAGTGGCATAAAACCAAATTCACTCACTCACCAGGGTGGTAAAAATGTAGGACCTGCATCTTTTCAGCTTTCTTTCCACATAGAGCTGATATGCTGTGATGTATGGGAGCTGTGTTGCATACAACTTTGTCACCTATCATGCAGCCCGTGTTACCCAGATTGTAACATCATAACTGTTACCCTATCTCAACTATACTAGCTGTTACCATGATTGTTTCACTTTGCTACCAGGCTATTAATTTTGTGTATATTGTGCTTGTAACACCATAATCTAACTGCATACCCTCAGCAATTGCTTCTAATGAAATCAGTTTGTTTCAATAAGACGTCTCTTAATTGTGGATGTACTGAGAAAATGTCAGAGTTGTGAGTTGTTGCTATGGTTACAGACAACGCCTGGAGCTGATGCGGGAGATGTACCACAACGAAGCGGAGTTGTCCCCCACGTCCCCAGAGCCAAACATTGACTGCATGAGCGGTAGTGATCCCTTCTACGACCGCTTTCCATGGTTCAGGCTTGTTGGCAGGTAGGCACACTTCCTATATAGTTTAGAGCATTGTGTATTGGTTTGGGATGTAGTTCAGTCTGTATTTCAAGAGGATGAGGGGCGGTGGGGTAGCCTACCTGGTTAAAGCGTTCGCTCGTCATGCAGAAGGACCGGGTTAGATTCCCCACATGGGTACAATGTGTGAAGCCCATTTCTGGTGTCCCCCGCCATGATGTTGTTGGAATATTGCTCTAAGCAGCGTAAAACCCGACTCACTCACTCACTGTAGAGAATGATACTGTATGTGGATCTGGATGAAGTCCTGACCTTTTGCGAACATGATCACTTTCCTTTAAGCTCATCTGAGTAATGAGAAATGAATTGTACAGAGCTCAAACTTAAGCATGAAAGTCAAAGTGTCGTTTTCATTGTTCTCTTCTTGAAACTTCGGCATCTTACATGTAAATTAAAATACTAAACGAGCAAATCCAAGTCCCCTATGTTTCCACATTATTTTGAACACTGCTCATATTATTTAAGAAATGTGCCTTTTCTCAATATCATGTGTTTTGTTTGGAGATTGATGATGAATTCTGGAGACATGTTGTACTGGATACAATATTTTCTAAAGCAGGGAAGTGTGGCATTATTGATTGAATGCAGCAATGCAGCAGTGATATAATATGCAATTACTCACTGAGCTGAAAGTTAACTTAATAGGACTTGCGATTGTAAAATATTCTTAAGAACTGAATTATTGATGTAATTTATGGAACTTGTTTAGACACACCTTGTAATCTGTCTGATTATCAAGTGATTTTGTATCTTGCATTGCAGAGCATTTGTTTACCTGAGCAATCTGTACTACCCAGTGCCCCTGGTACACAGGGTAGCCATCGTCAGTGAGAAGGGGGAGGTGAAAGGTTATCTACGGGTCGCTGTTCAAGCTGTCACAGGTTAGTTTGGGACGTCAGACGCATGTAATATGGTGCCTGCTTTGTTATCCCCCGCAACAACGAAGTTGCAGGGGATATAGAAACGAGTTCCGTCCGTCCGTGGGTCTGTCCTTGTGTCCGTCCGTGCGTCTGTGACACTTTGTCCGAAGCATATCTCCTAATCTATATGTAGCAGCTTCATCAAACATGGTACACATATCAAGCATGATCCCTAGATGTGCCTTTTGGGGGTTAGAGCCAGATATGAATTTTATTTTTTGCTGTTTCCACGGAAACATGACTTAGGCTGTGGCTATGAGAACGTCATCTTGTCCAGAGCAGATCTCCTAAACTTTACATGCTAGCTTCATCAAACTTGGTACATATGTTAAGCATGATCCCTAGATGTGCCTTTTGGGGTTTAAACCCAGATGAGAATTTTATTTTTTGTGGAATCCATGGAAACATGACTTAGGCTGTGACTATGAGGATGTCATCTTGTTGCATTTCCATGGCAACAAGTTAGGCTTAAACTGAATTTGGTGGTCGTTTCCCTTTCTGGAGCAGATCTTAAAAACCTTTCAATACTCTCCTTCCACTTTGCTGTATACACTCTAAAATATTTGACATAATCATAACTAGTAGACATATTCATAAAGAGTATTTTGCTGTTGCGGGGGATATTGATGACTTTGTCTTCTTGTTTTCTTTGTTCTTTAACCTGCCCCACTTAGCAATATTCCAGCTATGTGGCAGCATTTGGTAAATGGACACATGGACCAGACAATCCAGTGATTGAAATCATGAGCATTAATCTCGAAACTGGGATACAGTAACATGCATCAAGTCAGCGAGTTGTCTGACCATGCAGTCCTGTGAGTCGTCTCTTGCGACAAGTATTGATTGCTGAAAAATATTTCTAACCCGATTCTTCAGAATCATGCTGCGTGCAACACAGCACATATATATACTGAGTCAAAAAAGAAACTTCACAAAATGTAATTTGAAAAATAATGAATAATTTTTCTCTGATGATACATCTATGTATCCGAAATGGAATCCCTACCAATTCGACTCTAGAAAAACGTTAGCAAAACCCACTCAAACCCATCCATTCGTCGTGCAAATGACGTTAGTGCCAAATCAGGTTTTGCACGTGCAGTCGATCACGTGATCTTCGCATCGAAGTTTTCTTCATATGCACGTGTTTGCATTGGCCTCAAGAATTGAAAAAACACTTTTAAACCACAGTTAGTTCTAACGGTACTTGAAATGCCACGATTGTCAAATGTGCAACGTGAACGTGCCGTTGGCATGTTGCAAGCGGTAAGATCAGTTATTGACGTCGCAAGAGCAATGGGATGCAGCCGTCGTACTGTGTATGACTTGCGAGGTTGTCTACAACAAACTGGCACCACTTCTGATTGCCCAAGGTTGGGTCGTCCACATGTGACGTCACGAGCAGAAGACCGTCAAATCGTCCTACGTCACCTACGTGACAGATTTCTGCCGGCTACACGAACCAGGGCTGAGATGTTAAGAGGTCGACTGCCCTCACAGACCATTCGAAATCGGTTGCGGGCTGCCAATCTCCATTCTCGACGTCCATATCGTGGGCCAATATTGACACCGTTTCATCAACGTCAACGTCTGCTGTGGGCCCAACGTCACCTCCGATGGACCCAGAGCGACTGGAATCGAGTCGTCTTTAGCGATGAATCCAGGTTTACCCTCAGTTTCGCGGACGGCAGGCATAGAGTCTGGAGATGATGTTGTGTACAGAAAGTCGACAGATTCGGGGGCGGAAGTTGCATGGTGTGGGGTGCTTTCTGTGGGAACAACCGTTCCCGACTTCTGGTCATCCGTGGAAACCTCACAGCTGCTGCTTACCGCGACCAGGTGCTCACCCCTGAACTCGTTCCTTTCATGGCGGCTCATGGCCCAGGTCTACAGTTCCAGCATGATAATGCTCGGCCGCACACCGCGATGTTGACACAGAATTTCCTTCAAAACGCTGGAATCAACGTCATGGACTGGCCATCGAGGTCCCCTGACCTTAATCCAATAGAGCATGTTTGGGATGCACTTGGGAGAAGGCTTCGTGGTCTTAGGAACCAACCTCAGAATTTGCAGAAACTTGGCGCGCTGCCTTGCAAGAGCAATGGCGCAGAATCCCCAACCACGTGTTCACAAGCATCAGGCAGTCGATGAGGAGACGGTGTTTGGCAGTGGTGAATGCGCGGGGCGGCCATACACGATATTGAACTGTGAAATTTCGCATTTTTATTCTTGTGACTTGACATTCTGTATACCCATGTTTTGGAACGGCGGTGTAGCCTAATGGAACTGATTATGGCACTGTCAGTGTATCGAGTACATCACACAGATCTCAGCAATGAAATAATAACAATTTAACCATCTTACCATCTCTTGTTCTTTTATAGTGCCCTGAAGAAAGAATGTGAAGTTTCTGTTTTGACTCAGTATATTTGTAAGATATTTATTTTTATAGATACCAATCAAGGATAGGCAATCATCATTGCCTATTCTAATTCTTTAATTATCATTCGAAAAATCTTCATTGACTTGTTGTGTTATGTTGCAGAGGCTGATGATGCACCTGACTATACCCCAGGTATCAAACAATCAGGAAACGCCAAAATCTCATTCAGTGATGCCGACTATTTTGCATCTGTAAGTTCTTACTTATATAGTCCTAAGTTTTGTCAAACAGTGTTTGAAAGTTGAAATGTGACAGCTCTTAGCTGTTGGTGGTAACCTCTTTCTTTCAATGGTGGATATTATGCCGAAAGGATGCAAAATGTAAAGAATCTCTTCATTTCTATAATTACTGTTATTAAAGGCATTGCAAATACTTTGGATATATGCATATTCTTTAGAGATATAATAATGTTTTTCCTAATAAGCACGTCTCTTGCATACAGTCACTTCACGTATGGTTTGTTACAGTTAAACATGGATTATCTAAAAAGCATGGTGAAAGTGATGGACGTGAACTGAATAAAACTTCCATTTCATTTCAGCCATCTTTCTTTCAGAAACAACTGACCCACACTGAATTCCCACCAGCCATTGTCGGGAAACCACCCGTATCTGTTCCCTCGATGGAGAATCTGAGAATAGTTGAAGGAGAAGGGCAGTCCCCAGAAAACACAGACACAGTCAAAGGTAGATATTTCCATCACAGTCATGAGATCCTGAAAGTTCCCGATTCTCCACATGGGTACAATGTGTGAAGCCCATATCTAGTATGCCCCCGCCGTGATATTGCTAGAATATTGCTGAAAGCAGCCTAAAGTCAAACTCACTCACTGAAAGTTTCAATGTATATTAGTTATAAAAACCCATCGCTATTGAGAACTGAGAATGATGGGGATTTGATGATTATGATGTGTTGCCTGATGTGTTTTGAGGCCATTGTCCTCAGACAGTGTGGATCGGTGCTCACGCATTCAGCCATTGGTTTGTCTTGACGACTCAGTGGTATAGCTGGATTTCTGCCAATGAATATGTAACAAAATATACTGATTGTTATAACTGATTGAGACACAGATACAGTGAAAGGTTGAAGGTCTACAGACCCTCTCTTTTGCATAAACTTATCAGTCAGTTCGTCCGTGGGGAAAGTGCATCAGGTCTTCCTCCACCTGTTTGTGGCAGTGTGCGTCTGGTCTTCCTCCACCTGTTTGTGGCAGTGTGCGTCTGGTCTTCCTCCCCGTTTGTGGCAGTGTGCGTCTGGTCTTCCTCCCCCTGTTTGTGGCAGTGTGCGTCTGGTCTTCCTCCCCTGTTTGTGGCAGTGTGCGTCTGGTCTTCCTCCCCGTTTGTGGCAGTGTGCGTCTGGTCTTCCTCCACCTGTTTGTGGCAGTGTGCGTCTGGTCTTCCTCCACCTGTTTGTGGCAGTGTGCGTCTGGTCTTCCTCCCCCTGTTTGTGGCAGTGTGCGTCAGGTCTTCCTCCCCCTGTTTGTGGCAGTGTGCGTCTGGTCTTCCTCCACCTGTTTGTGGCAGTGTGCGTCTGGTCTTCCTCCCCCTGTTTGTGGCAGTGTGCGTCTGCTGTAATCCATCTGTGTCTGGTGTTGCAGTGTCGGACCAGAACGTGACAGCTGACAGCAAGAAGGTAGTGAACCTCGACCATGGTCCAGACATCAACTCCAAGGAGCTGCCAGAGCACCTCCAACTTGGCTCCCAGTTCCAGTTCCGGGTCACCGTGCTCCAGGCCTCCGGAATATCACCAGAATATGCGGACATCTTCTGCCAGTTCAAGTGAGTAGAACCTTGAAACCCAGCAGCGATCAAGTTCTATGAAAACCTTTAGCATTTCATGCAACTTCAGTATCCAGTTGAATAAAATCAATGTCTCAACTCATTTTGCCATTTTTGACTTACATGCCAAGTGGTACTTCTGTAATGTATTCTGGATAATCATAGTCAAAGAGAGGCAACTTAGATTTGTAAGGATAATTTTTCAGTAGTGTACCGTAACTCAGTACATCTCCTTTGAGTTTGTGTGTTTGTTTTGTTCATTTAAACAAAATTTCCTGATGTTCCAAGGATAGATTATGGTTGACGAGTCAGTTACACTTCTTATTATTCCCCGCAAAGCGTTTTGCGGGGGGTATTAAAATGGACTCCGTCCGTGCGTCCGTCCCTCCGTCAGTCCGTCCGTCCGTGCACATTTCTCTTATCCGGAGCAGAACTCTAAAACCATTCAATATTTCTTCACCAAACTTGGCACATACATGGATCTGGTGGTGTACTGGTGCCTTTTGGTAGTTTTGGAATTCTGAATAAAATATTTTTGGCGTTTCCATGGCAACAAGTTCGACTTTGACTGAAATTAGTGGTAGTGCTCTTTTCCGGAGCAGAACTCTAAAACCGTTCAATATTTCTTTACCAAACTTGGTCCATGGATAGATCTGGTGGTGTACTGGTGCCTTTTGGTAGTTTTGGAATTCTGAATAAAATATTTTTGGCGTTTCCATGGCAACAAGTTTGACTTAGACTGAAATTGGTGGTAGTGCTCTTTTCCGGACCATAACTCTAAAACTGTTCAATATTTCTTCACCAAACGTGGCACATAGATAGATCTGGTGGTGTACTGGTGCCTTTTGGTAGTTTTGGAATTCTGAATAAAATAATTTTGGCGTTTCCATGGCAACAAGTTTGACTTAGCCTGAAATTGTGGTAGTGCTCTTTTCCGGAGCAGAACTCTAAAACCGTTCAATGTTTCTTCACCAAACTTGGCACATAGATTGGTCTGGTTGTGTACTGGTGCCTTTTGGTAGTTTTGGAATTCTGAATAAAATATTTTTGGCATTTCCATGGCAACAAGTTTGACTGAAATTGGTGATAGTGCTGCTTTCTGGAGCAGAACTTTAAAAACCTTTCAATACCCCCTTCCACTTTTCTATATACACACCTAAATATTGGACATAATCATAACTCGTAGACATAATCATGAAGAGTATTTTGCCATTGCGGGAGATATTGATGACTTTGTCTTCTTGTAAATTTAGTAATGTAGTCAACGATGCATTAATACATTTAAACTCAGTAGGTGTCCAAGAACTGTTTGAATAAGAATATTAAACTGAAATTTCTGCAATGATTGTTTGGTTGGAGCAAACCAGTCATAACCAAAGATTGATGATGAAATTCAAATTGATTCCCTATGTAAGCATTTACATTATACATAAGGCTGATATTGAAGGAAATCCCAATGATTCATGAGGCAGATGTTTGCCTTTGGTGCACCAGGTCAGTGTCAAGATCAGGCTGTGTGTAACAGTTTCGTCTGTTTTCCAGCTTCCTGCACCGACATGATGAGGCGTTCTCCACAGAACCTCTGAAGAACACAGGGAAAGGCCCACCGCTTGGCTTCTACCATGTACAGAATGTAAGTCCCTTCCACTTGACGCACAGAAACTTAAAAATCTCAATCTTTACGGAAAGCAGAAAATTTTAAAAACATTGAGTCATCAAATATTAGTTTTGAAATTGACGTGTATGCTTAATGCTCAAATGTCAGTGTAAACATTGTGAAAGGTCATGTTATACTGGGATGAGATGTTTTATACAGTGTTAGCCTGGTCAAACAGCATGTTAATGTGGGAAATTTGACCTCTCTGCTGCAGTTCACCGTGAATGTGACCAAGTCGTTTATTGACTACGTGAAAACACAGCCCCTTGTGTTTGAGGTGTTCGGTCACTACCAGCAGCACCCACTTCATGAACAAGCCAAGGAGAGACCCTTGTAAGTTTCCATGTGGCTCTGTTATTGTTTGTGATCACAAGTTGTACAATATCCTGGTTACTGCTGATTCTGTAGATAAGATATCAGTAATATCTTTATTAAATAACAAGCAGGTAAATAATGTTATAAGTCGATATACAGCATCACAAAGACATACAGCATCACAATGATATATGGCATCTCAGGTAGATATACAGTATCTCAGGTAGATATAGAGCATATCAGGTAGATATGTGACATCTCAGGTAGATATATGGCATCTCAGGTAGATATACAGTATCTCAGGTAGATATACAGTATCTCAGGTAGATATAGAGCATCTCAGGTAGATATATGGCATCTCAGGTAGACATAAGGAAATAGTAAAGGAGATCCACATAGGTGTGAAGAGCATGTATGGGGAAGCCAGATGTCTGAAGCTCATTGTCAAATGTATTGTCAGAGGAGATCATTTTGAAAACTAACATACTAACATTTTGATTTGGAATGATTTCTTTGTGAGTCCATGTTCTCAGTCTACCCACTAAGGTGTATGGCATCACAGGATGCTAACAGTGTCACAGCTACACCTCACATTAAATTGTCACAGCTAACTGGAAATTTCAAATTCAAATTTTCTTAAGCTTTTTCAGCAGAATTCGTTCCCCACCGAGCCGGAGTTTCCCATCCCACCTGCCTGTGTCGAAACCTGTACCATCACCCAAGTATGGAGTCATCACTGCCCCAAGGTGAGAAACTGTTTCTGACATCTCAAGTGGAAGTGTATGTGTCCCATGTGAAGCACTTGTCTCCCTGTGTCACGGTGTAGCCCTGCTTCCACACCTTCAGTGTCACGCCCCTCTGAGCTGGCAGCTCATCAGCTCCACCTGAAGCTTACCCCAACTGTAGGACACATCTGGACGCCTATGAGCCTCGGGAACATTGAACATTACACAAACTGACTGGTTTGGTGGATAAGCACCATCTTGCTACCCATTTACTGTCAGTCTACGTTCAGTTTTATTACTTCAGTCTCTATGTCCAGATTTGACTTTCCTGGTCTATTTGGCAAATCATGTTTGTTTTTAATATTTTTGTACATAAAGTATTTTCAGGTTAATATTCTTTCCCAAATTTTAAGTAAACAGTTGGGACTATTTATATTCTATTATAATCTATTTTTTGGTAGTCTTTATAAGTTGTCAGTGCTTATTAAATTAAAGTTTCATCTGAAAAAGAAACAAAGAGATGTGCTGTTCCAAACACAGCAAGGTATAACAAATGTAAGCATAAAGATCATTGCAGGAGTTCCCTCTTGTCATTTATTGAATTTGTGAAAATGTCTTCATGTATTTGTCACAGTGGCCATGCATATGCTTGTAAATAAACACATGTTTATCCTTCTTTAAAGCTACCAGTTCTGGTAATTCCTACTATTGCTGTTTCAACTTTCTTTTACCCATTCATTCCTTTAGACAATACTCCTGACAGTTTGTTGTCTTTGTTTGTGTGACTTGATGTGCCAGGTGGTATGTGTGCTTAGTATTTTCTGTAATTTCTGGTCAGTGTTGTAATATGCACTTATTCTGTCCCCACCCAGAAAGAGAGACTTGTCTCTTGTAATGGACATCACTAAGGCAGCTGGGATTGGGTAAGATGTTTCGCATGAATGCTGGTGGTGGTCACAGGACTTGTAGTTTGTAGTTTGGAGTTATCTGCCCTTACAATTGATAGGAGCTTTGAATTCATAGCCATGCTTTTGCTTTGAACTTTTACATAGGTAAAATATGTTTCTGTTTTTTTAAATGATAGAGAATAAAATTTCTTAATGATTTGAATGTGACATTTATTAAATGTGTAAAATGTCAGAAGCTTCTCTGAATCAAAGCAACTCTTTTAGTTTGGAGTTATCTGCCCTTACTATTGACAGGAGCTTTGAATTCATATCATTGCCTTTGCTTTGAACTTTCATAGAGGTAAAGTTGCAGTTTACCATAAAGATAGAGAAAAAAGTTAACTAAACAAGACATTCTTTTATTATTGATTTGAATCCGACATCATTGTATAGAAATTGTAAGGATTGTCTTAATCAAAGAGACTTTTGTGGTTTGGAGTTATCTGCCCTTTTGGTTTAATGCCGAGTGGTTAAAGGACATTAGGTCACAGATTCATGTTCCTCACATGAGTACTGTGTGTGAAACGATTGCGTTCTTGGTGTTTCACTTGCACAAGAATTTTACGGAATTCATACTTGCATCTGACCCGTGAAGGTCCGGGTTAGAATATTGAACTTCAGTAACCCATGCTTGTCGTAAGAAGCGATTAATGGGATCGGGTGGTCAGGCTCTCTGACTTGGTTGACACATGTCATCGGTTGCCAATTGAGCAGATCGATGCTGATGCTGTTGAGCATTGTCTGGTCCAGACTCGATTATTTACAGACTGCTGCCATATAGCTGGAATATTGCTGAGTGCAGCGTAAAACTCAGCTCACTCACTCATACTTGCATCTTCCATTTCTGTTTCCTTAGTAGAAAAAGTAGTTATCTGCCCTTTGACCATAAATGTGCATGATTATGTGTCTTATATTAATTGCAAACAAGATTGTTTTCAAACATCAATAGTAGGCACAAGTGGCAATTTCCTGTGCGTGCTACACCAAAATTAACGGGTGCAAATACTGTTTTACCCTGATCATGTTTGAAGGTTAGTTAGTACCACACCTGTACTCATGGTGAAATGTTGGAGACCTGCATCAATATGGGATTTACTCCTACATGAAGCTCACGCCTAGATATAACTGGAATACTGTTCAAAGTGGCGTTAAAGCAAACTCACTCGAGTAGTACCATCAGAATTAACAGGCCTTATTGAATGCAATTGTTGATTACAGTTTCATAACAGTTTAGAAACTCTTCCTGTAGAACCATCCTTCACCTACTCCCTATGCATGATACTCATGGTGGGCGTTCAAGGATTTACCTGTTCCTCGCTACTATGAGTTTACTAAGTGTACTCCTTTCATAAGTTAAGCATAATGGGTGACTTACCCTTGTTTTCCCAACTTTCTTCTGTATTTTGCTATAGCCAGTTTATTTACAGAACTTTAAGCTCAAAATCAGTGTAGGCGGACGATAAACAAGTCAGAACAATAACAAGAGTTGCTGTGTTGTAAAGGGGCGGTGGGGTAGTGTAATGGGTAAAGTGTTCACTTGTCATGCCGAAGTCCTGGCTTATGCTCATGTTAGCCACTATTTTGGCCTGGTCAAGGCTGCAATTGTTTGGCTGTTATTGAGCTGTTGTATTTAACACCATTTTCTCACTCAAACATTGGCCCAAATATATCAGTTCTCATGGATATCTACTACATAGAGCGGCAACTGGATATACTGTTTCGTTTTATCTGTGTTCTAACTTTGTGTTGATTATTAACTGAATTTATTGTTCATTAAGCTGTTTACTAATATGTTTGGTATATCTAGAATGTTCTCTGTCATGTATAGTCAGACTGCATGATCTTGCCTTACAGTGTGTATCTAACCCAGTATTTAAATGCTTCTATCTTATCAAAGTTATTAATTATCATCCTTTTGAAAAAGGGTCTTTCAGATCTGTAGTGAAAGTGAGTGTACCTGAAGCAAAATTTCACTGAGCTTCCATTGTGAAAATGTAAAGGCGTCTTGATTTGTTGAAATGACTCTAGTTTGCCTTATTGTATGATCATTCGTGCAAAGCATTTCCTTCTTACTCTGCAGTTTCGTTTCTTAGGGAATGGTTTATAGTTGTACAGTTTGAAAACATGAAAATAAGACTAAATAATGTGCAGGAAACTAAACCTTTATATTTGGTTTCTTTCAGCTCGAGCCCTGTCTACTCCAGATGTGATCTGCTAGTGTGGTTTGAGATCTGTGAACTGGCACCCAATGGAGAGTAAGTCATCTACTGGTGTTTTTATATTCTTAGTCGTATCAGGAGTTTTATGGAAAGTAGAGGGCTTGTGTGGCAAGTACTCAGGAATGTGAGGTAGAAACATTGTTGGGAAGAATATGATATTCATGATGTGAGCTCTTGTGTTAGCTCTCTTATAGGCACTGGGGGACTAAACATTGGGGAGTTAGTCCAAACTTAACTGAAAAGTAATCTACTAAACATGAATTAACCGCCTCCTTGGTGTAGTGGTTAGAGCATCCGCCCGGAGAGTGGAAGGTCGCGGGTTCGACCCTGACCGCGTCATACCAAAAGACGTTAAAATATAGTACTTGTTGGTCCCTGCCTGGCGCTCGGCATTAATGGGTACATCAAGGACTGGTCGGCTCGGAGTCAGTATAATGTGTCTGAGTGGTATTCATGCTTCACTGCGGCATGGTATCTCAGTGGGCTAGCACTATAAAACCAGCTTCAGTCTGGGCTAGTTCAAGCAGCCGCACATACACATACACATGCACATGCATGCACGTCGTCATATGTAGCAAAATACTCTCAAGCTCGACCCAATTTCATCTCACCTCACCTCACTAAACATGAAGTACTTACCCTTTAACTAAAGGAAGTAAGTGCAATCACTGTGAACGCTGTGGAAAATGTATCAGGAACTAGATGTGATTGTCTTTGCCATGTAAAGAAATGATGTAGAAACTTGAGTTAAAGAGCAAACTAAATATTTCATCTGACTGTCCCTTTGAGCTAACTCGCATGAACAGTCAAAGATAAACACCATGTTTTGTAAAGTCAGATATTAGTTTTGCAGAGATGCCAACCCTTACGCCTTAGGCTTTATTATTACGATTTTGACCAGTAAATTACGCCATTACACTTAATCTGCGAAAATTACACTTTTCTACTCGTTTTACGAAAATCAATAAAGTGGATAAAATTTCACAGGGAAGTGTTTCGTAACGCACAGGTGCAGGGGTGCAGAAATGGCCTTGCATGGATAGGAATTGCTTACTCTTAGCATCGCACTCATTCCAATAAACTTGCAAGGAATTAAAGTATTTTGAGTCACATGACCAACAATTTTCAATGTATGGAGCTTCATAATGATTGGTCACATGTGTTTCTGTCTAGAATCTTCCTTTCGTGAAAACGTGTACCATGTTGAAGCGATCGTCAGACAAGTATTACACTTTTTAGGTCCAAATTACACTTTTTGACCTCTAGTATTACACTTAGGCCCAAAGTAGGGTTGGCATCTCTGGTTTTGTTGCTGAGTCTCATGTTTTGTGATGCTGAGTCCTGTGTTTGATGCAGGTACGTACCTGTGGTGGTGGACCATGGGGAGGAGCTGCCCACCAGGGGGATCTTCATGCTGCACCAGGGTATACAGAGACGCATCCGCATCACCATCGTACACGAGCGGCGGCATGAACTGCTGTGGAAGGACGTGAAGGAGCTTGTTGTTGGTACGTCTTACACAGGAGTGGTTGTATTTCATTGTTCAATTGTAAGATGCATGGCATGGGCTTTTCAAGTGATATACTCATCAGTACTTTGTATGTAGATTGATGCTCATGATGTTGATCACTGGATTGTCTGGTCCAGACCCGAGTATTTACAGAAGGCTGCCATGTAGCTGGAATATTGCTAAACATCAATAATTTTATAATGTTTTTTAAGTTCACACTGATGTATCTGATGATCGTCTGTGCAGGTCGTATCCGCAACACCCAGGAGTACCGCGACTACGATGGCGAGATGACCGTCCTCTCCCTCAACCTCTTCCCGGCCCACTTCCTTCAGTACTCCAACGATGACAGGTGAGTGAGAACTTGATATCTGCAGATGGCACTAATTGAAAGATGGGTAGGAGCTGGACATCTATAGATAAAGTTCTTAAGATGTTAAGAAACACTTGACAAAAGCATTCAATGCTGTCAGTACCTGTTCCTCTGCAGATATTCTGTAAACCGATTATGGCTGCTTTTGCTGGAAGAAATGAATCGTATCATGCCTCTTTGTTAGACCAACCAATCAGAGAGCAGAACCACTAACCTCCCATGAGACCATACACTCTCAGTAACACATACACCTCATCTACTTTGAATGGAGATTCTGATACAGGCATTCGTATTTCGACACTGCCTTGGTTTTTCATATCATTAATTGTGATGTGCAAGTACATTAATTTCTTACAATATCATGTTTGTGATTTACATTTTTAATTGTAGTTAAACGTTTCAACACGATTTGGCCTCTAATGCTGGAAGAGTTGTCTCCCTTTGACAAACAAATGTTCTCTTGGTTGGCCTGTTGTGAAAATAATGGAAACCAATGGCACCATAACCAACAATATGTTGTTTTCGAATCCAGTGTATCAACAATTAAAGTCAGTGAAACAACAATTCCAGGTTGATTTTTACTTGTCTCAGACTAATGGAATTGTTGGGTGTGTACAATTTTTGTCAGATCAGTATTAATTTATATCCATGAAAATGGAGAGTATGACTAGTCAGTTGGATTGTTCACGTGATTCCGGGTGTGGCATGAATTGTTTCAATGTTTTCTGTTCTTGGGAAACACAGCACAGGAAGTTACCAAATCATTTCGGGAGCATAAAAAATAACCAATAAAGTCATCAGAACTATGTTTTTACTCTAAAACACACGTTTCTGTGACAGTATCGTTTGTGTTTCAGAGTCTTCTTCCAGTTTGAGGCAGCCTGGGACAGCTCCCTCCATAACTCCTCACTCCTGAACAGGGTCACACAGTACGGGGAGAGGGTGTACATGACACTCTCCGCATACCTGGAGGTATGCCTCTCACCCAGACCAAATTACGATTATGTTATGGTTAAAGTTTTCATTTTTTATTTGCTTGTTGTTTAATGCAGCTGCATTATTTCAGCCATATGAGCAAGAAGAAGTTCCGAAACATTGTGACAAAGAATAAGTTGTCCATAAAAAGTGCCATGTACTGTTTTGTAGTTCTTTGAGCATCTGAGCAAAAGTTTTCTTATGTTGTATATGGTAAAAGTATAATCTTCTTGCTCTCCTTGCCATAGGTTGAGAACTGTGCCCAGCCTGCTTGTATCACCAAGGACTTGACTCTCATCATCCACTCCAGGGACACCAAGATCTCAGCTCCAAGGTAGGCTGCACTTTAGCACTGTAGAGAGTTTGTCTGTACTCACCTCATGACTGTTCCATGTGGTCCGATCTCAGCTCCTCAGTAGGTTGCACTCAGCACTGTGGAGAGTTTGTGACTGGTTCATGCAATCAGAGTCACAGTTCCTTGATAAAATTCACACCGAAACTGTAGAGAGTTTGCCTGTTGATTTTTTTGGTCAAAATATGAGATCACTATGGATGTGTAATTCTCAACATTTTTGTATATTTTTCTCACAATTTTATTCTTTAAAATACAAATGCTCCCTAATTTGTAAAATCCTGTTAAAATATATATGTGCCTTGATTTGTAAAATCCTGTTGCATTTTTTGTGTTTTCAGATACATGTCAAAATTCATTTAAGTTTAAATGTCTTCAGCTGTGTATATGAGGAGTACAAAAGTCACAGTTGTAACTTTTGCTTCTTTTTGCTTGTATATTTTATAATATGGCTTTTGTAACTGTGTAACAACCACTTTCGTGATACTGATGTCATATATGTTGTATATATCACCTGTAGTTTTCTAGATCCACCTAGCCATGCTGTAGCAGATGTCTATATCATGCTTATATCTGTTTGTCACAGTCTTGCTCAGTTGGTTGTACCAGTGGCGTCAGTAGTCAATATACGCTCCAGCCTTGCACATAGCATCACAACTAACTCTAGATACAGCAGCTGTTTAACTTTTGGGATTTGAGGTAAACATTAATCAAAAGCCATTAATAACGGGGAAGAAGTGGCTCAGTCATTGTATAATAATGGGGGCGGTGGGGTAGCCTAGTGGTTAAAGTGTTACAACCATACTCAGTCAGCATAATACTGGCTGTGAAGAGTTATGTCCCTTGGTCCCTCCACAGTGCTCTGTCATCATCATGCCCCAACTCATCGGTTTCTCCAAGATGGAATGCATCTGAGACCTTCGTAATTTCAGGCTTTCTTGAGCTGATATAACTATTCTATAAAATGTTGAACTTAATTTTCTCTCATTTAAAATATTTAAAATAGTTTTCTGTTAAAAGTCTTTTATACAACTTTATGAACATCAGATTTGTCTTAATAAATATACTCATATGGTTATTTACGTTTTAAGATGTAGAAAGTAACATTTGCATTCATAATTCACAATATTATAGCTGCTGAAGAGATATATTGTAGGTTAAGAACTTCAAAATATATCTGTTCAATATTCAGTGTTGATTCTTTTGATAAAAAAGTTTCAAGTTATGTTTATTCAGATCTTTCTTCTAAGCATGATACTAGCGGGCTTGTAAGGGATGGAATATAGGTTAGAATAGTTGCAACATGGCCTGAGGAGCGATGAACCTCCATTGAAATCCCACTGTAGATCTTTGTGATGTTGCAGCAGCCCAGCATGTTGGGGGATTGGTTTGTTGTGTTGTGTGTTGTATTGTCTCTCTGTGCTGGTATAACATCTATATCATGTCTTGTTCACTGTTTGTGATGTTAGCACTGTGGTGGGGCAGGGGTGAGAGGGATGGGGATGGAACAACTCTTAGGCTGATAGCATATTTGTTGAAACAAAAGTTTGGAGGATTCACCTTGGAAACGAAGGTATTTCTGTTTGCAAATGCCTGTATTGTGTCCATGAAATACCAGAACGATTCTTGTGGGAGAGTGGTTGAGTGAGTTGAGTTTTACGCCGCACTCAGCAATATTCCAGCTATATGGCGGCGGTCTGTAAATAATCGAGTGTGGACCAGACAATCCAGTGATCAACAGCATGAGCATCGATCTGCACAATTGGGAACCGATGACATGTGTCGACCAAGTCCGCGAGCCTGACCACCCGATCCCGTTAGTCGCCTCTTACGACAAGCATAGGTTACTGAAGGTTCATTCGAACCCAGACCTTCACGGGTCTCTTGTGGGAGAGTATATATTGGGGTTTGGTAAAGTACACAAGCTTTAGTTTCAGGGTAAAGTCAGTCTATGACTATATTAGCTCTTTGGTTCTGTTTTATTGGGTGTTTCTGAAAGACATATTGTTCCAGAAACTTGAAAGTTGAATAACACATCTAGAACAATGTAGCTTGAAGATCTTTCATTCTTTGTAGTGGTAATCATATGCCTCAATGACATCAGAGTCTGAAGGTTGTAGTGTAGGGACGGAGGTATATGTCACAACTGTTACACACATCTGAGGGACACTGTGCAGACACAGGGTGTAGCTGACACGCAAGTCTAGCTGCTCTCCCCTGCAGGGTGCCGCTGTACGAGGCGATCTTAGCGCTAAGGTGACCATACATTAACTTAGACTTATGATTGCCATAGCTCTCAGGTTGTTTTGTACAGCGGCATCCATTATGTTAGACAATACATTGGCAGACAAATAAGCTTTTCGGAGACATATTCCTCATTTAGATCAAATGCCTGAAAATATGTAAACCGTGTCCCAAAAGAAACACAAAAATTAAAATCTCTTATCTAGATTCACTCGCACAAATCAACATCAATGTTACGATCATTGTAACTCCCATAATTTAACATTAGCTTTCAATAGTCATACTGCTGAGAGTGCTTTGTGCAAGTGGATCTAGGACCATTAAAGCTGAGTGAAGGGATTCAAGTGACTGCAGCAAGGCTTGTTGATGTTGTAAAGCTGGCTTTGGTGGTGTTGTCTGTGGCGGTGTTCTAACCGAGGCCCTGTTTGGCATACAGTGTTCGTTTCAGGGCTCTGCGCAGTCTCTTTGGCGGATCCAAGAACGCAGAAAGCAACCGTGTGTCTGGTGTCTACGAACTGTTCCTCAGGAAATTCTCTGAATCAAGTAGTCCAGGTAAGTCTTGTGAGAATGCCATATATCATTGTTTTGTTTGCTTGTACTCACTAACATCACGTGAGTAGGCTGAAATACTAGCAACATCCATGTGTTGCTGAAATACTACCTGTCACTGTTTTATGAAAAGGTTTTGATCATTAAACCAAAGCGGTTGAGGTTACACTTATTTTGTTCATTTTGTTATTTGGAGATAAATCATATGCAGAGACAATGTGAAAGAAATGAAAGTAGGGTAATAAAATGTCAAAATGTTTCATTTCAAAAGCAGTCAAGGGATAGATTCTGGAAAATTTATAGTACTGCAATAATCAAGAATTCTCTAATAAAATGACTATTATTTTTCCTTCTTTGCAGGAGTGCAGCGACGTCAGCGGCGAGTGTTGGACACATCGTCTACGTATGTGCGTGGCGAGGAGAACCTGAACGGATGGCGCCCTCGCGGGGACTCCCTCCTGGTTGACCATCAGTGGGAGCTGGAGAAACTCACCAGGCTACAGATGGTGAGATATTCCATCCTGCAGCGTGCAGAAGGATTTTGATCCCTCTGTTATACCAGGGGTGGAAATAACTCTGAAATTGCTAGTGTACTCCGGTACAGTGGCACATGTAAACTCACTTGCCCTGATTTTTCCACTATACCGACCGTTTTCTTGTTGATTTTTCAAATAAACAACATAATTAATATTGGAAAGTCAACTGGACACCGGTACAGTGTGATATACAAATTTGCTTGCCCAACAGAAAAAAACCACTGGACTCGGGCGTCGGGCAATGGGTTATTTCCACCCCTGTATACAAAGACACTAAACAGATGGTACTTGTTGTTACCTGCCTCGTACTATGCATTAGGGAGGTCAACAAGGACTCATTGTCTCAGAGTCAGTGTCAATAGTTATGAATCCAGTGTTCGGCCATTCTTTTTCAGAAGAAGTCCTCCTTGGGGTACATATAAGCATTAAAATGTCCATTTTAAAAGCCTACGACAGTTGTAACAATATTTCAATAAAATATTTTACCAAACAAAAAACTCGTTATGTGTGGTGAGACCACCCCTACAGGGCCCCGTAGAGGGCCCCCTACAGCCAAGAGCAGGTAACTCTGGCTGTGTACCTCGTACCTCACTTTTCATGCTGTCGTCGGCCGTGTAGGTCGATTGCATGGTCCAAGAAGCTACGAATAAGAGAGCGATGAGTGAGATAGAGTCAAATCCTGTATGTATGGTTCCTTTTTTTCGCATTTCGGCGCTAGCTGGAATCGCGTTGTATGACTTTTTCATTCATGATTTGTTGTAACTTTACCGGGCGTGTTTCGCTGTCTCCAGCCAATGGCAGGCAAGATGGCGGACCGCTGGGTCCCGCTTTGCTTTCCTTCTCCTGGCTTTAGAAAAAGCCTTGTAGTCGGGTCGTAAAGGGGCTGATATTTCATTTTGTAGATTATACTTGCCTAAATTCCTCTTTTTCCAGGCTTTAGGTAAGTTTTGCTTGAGTGTTTTCGCGGACGCGCTTACGTGTCGCCACACATGTTGCTCTTTGTCACCTATGTACGCAATTACGCTTCGCTATTATGGCTTTGCGCTAGTATTTCATAGCTTTGCTGTAACAGTTAAAATATCGCCCGGGCGTTGTATTTTGTTCTGTTTTGTTGCGTGCATATTATATTATGTATATCGTACAGTCCTTGCTATTGTCATAGCGCGGTTCTGTTTTTTGCAGCCCAAGGGGTGTGTCACCTGTAGCGGCAGTTTGTCGCCTCAGGATCGCCACCTGGTTTGCTTACGTTGCTTCCCCCCCTCCTGTCCCTGTTTCTAACCAGCTAACAATTGATTTACTTTCTGATATATTGCAGAAGCAGATGGATTCGGTCCACACTCTCGTGGCTGACGCGATGGCTGGCCTCCGTCAGGAGATTGGTGTCCGGCCAGGTACGGGTGTGTGTGCCGGGTCTATGGCGGGCAGTGCTCCCAACCTCAGCTTAGGCTCTGGTGTGGGGGTTTCTGTCGGGGGTGCGTCGGCTCCGAGTTTCGTCTCGGTTGCTGGCCACCCCTCCGCTGTAGTAACTACTACCGGCCCGAGCCTTGGCTCGGGGTCTGGTCCAGTAGTTAGTAGTTTGGCAGGCTCAGTGCCTGTAGTTGCCGCTACTTCGCAATTGGTCCCACCGCTTGCGCCGGCTTGGCCGGGCCATTCGGTGTCTGGATCATTTTGTCTACCATTGAGGAATCCCAGCACGGGCTCTTCCTCGTCACGGCACCGCGACTCAGTCTCGAGTCTTGGGTCAGGTGTGCCGGGCAACCCGGCTCTGCTCGAGCCTTTGTCCCTCTCTGTAGACCCCTCGGATGATCCCTCAGAGCTCTCTCTGGATACAGAGACCTCACTCATTGAGGATCGATTCGAGGAGGCTATGGAGGAGGATGAGGGTCGGGAGGAGTTGGGTACGCCTTTGGTTTCGCTCGGTGCGTCCCTGAGGCAGGTACGGGAGCGTATTGCTTCTGTCCTGCCCCAGGTAGTGGTCAGTACTGGCGCACCCGACCCTCAGGAGTTTCGCCTCCCAGGGGAGGCTTTTGCTCCCACCAAGGTGGGGGACACAAGGCTGCGTATATTACCCTCAGTCTTGTCTGAGGTAATCAACCCCCTCCTCTGTGGTACCAGGTCCAGGTTCGATTTGCCAGAACTTGACCGTCGGTACCTCATGGGGGAGGCTTGCCTTTACAATCCCCCAGTGGTTGACGATTGTGTTTACGCATCCGTCGCCCTGGGGGGTTCGTCGGGTAATTCTATGGCTTCAGCCAAGCAAGGTCGCCGGCTTCCGCCGTTCACGACTAACGCTACAGCGCTTAAATCACATCTATCCTCCTTTGAAGAGCAATACCGCAATGCGGTTCAATGCCTCAAAGTGACGATCCATTCCGCCACATCTCGGTGTTGCAGAGGCAACTACTGGATGTGGGTGGGGTGGAGGAAGATTCGCCTCCCTCCACCTTGGCTAAGCAATTAACGGAGGTACAGTCACATCTGGCGCGATTCTATCAGGTCGCCGGCTTGCCAAATGATGTCGGCGGTGATGGGCCTCCGTCGCCTGTGGCTTTCCGTGGCGAGGTATTAAGCCTGCCACGCAACAGGCTCTGCTGGCGCTGCCATTCCGGGATGGGTTCTACCCTGTTCCCGGGGCAGCTACAGTAGTCCGGGAGGCCGCGGAGGCTGTCTCAACCTTCAAGGACTCTAAGCCCTTGCTGGAACAGCCTCACACGCCTCGCCATTTCATGGCGGACCCGGTTGCCTCCTCCGCGATATCCTTCTGCCGCGAAGGAATCTGTTAAATGGGCTCAGCCCTTGCAGTCGCTGAGGGCAAGGGCAGAGGCAGGGGCAAGGGCAAGGCCACGGCGCCCCACCAGCCTTTTCAGAGGAAGGGGAAGTCAGCCCCGGCTTCCCAGCTATAATTCCTCCGGAGCCCTTGTTGGTACCAGACCAAGCAGTCGGAGTACTGCCGAAGTCAGGTATTCAATGTCTCATGCCACATATCCCTGTGGGTGGTCGACTTTCCCTCTTCCTGTCGGAATGGGAAAAAGTCACGTCCAATCCCTGGGTCCTGTCCACACTCAGGGAAGGCCACATGCCACAGTGGAAGCGAGACCCACCCCCCTTCTCCGGGATCCGTTGCACTCCAGTGCCGGCTGCCCTAGAGAAGGCGGAAGTGCTCCGTGCCGAGGTCCAGTCGTTGCTGGACAAGGCAGCCATAGAGGTGGTTCCTGTGGGACAAGAAATGTTGGGTTTTTACTCAACTTATTTCCTTGTCACCAAAAAGGACGGAGGGTTCAGACCTATTCTAAACCTCAAAGGTCTGAACGACATGTTAGAGGTACCGTCCTTCAAGATGGAAACACTGCGTTCGGTGATTTCGTCTGTGGAGAAGGGAGATTGGCTCACGTCAATCGACCTCAAAGACGCGTACTTCCATGTCCCTATGCACCCCGAGTTCCGGAAATACCTAAGGTTTTCCTTCGACGGGAGGTGCTATCAGTTTCGGGTACTCCCCTTCGGCATTTCCACGGCGCCAAGGGTGTTCACCAAACTCATGCTAATTCCAGCTCAGGTAGCCAGGTCACAGGGCAGGTGCTGTCACCCGTACCTAGACGATTGGCTCCTTCGTGCGCTTGCCACTCACTTGAGTCGAGTTGCGACACTTGCTGTGATGAGTATTCTCACCAAGTTGGGCTGGATTATCAACCTCAAGAAATCAGAACTGGTTCCCACCCAGGATCTGGTGTTCTTGGGAGCGAGATTCGAGACAGCGCGAGGGATAGTCTCCCTGTCTCCGGACCGCGTCACCAAAGTCCAGAGAGTTGTGTTACAATTTCTCGAAGTTCCCCAGGGCCTCAGCTCGGACTTGGCTCCAGTTGCTAGGCAACATGGCGGCAACGGTGGACATCGTTTGGCGCCTGAGTTGAGGATGCACCCATTCAGCAGGCTCTAGCTTCGAATGTGGGTCCACACCCAGGGTTACGAGTTGATTCTCCACACTCCAGGGTGGCTAATTCCTCATTTACGGTGGTGGACACTGGCAGGGAATTTATCCAAGGGGCTCCCTTTGGACATCCCATCGCCAGATCTCTCAATTCAGACGGACGCTTCCCTCACAGGGTGGGGGGGCGTGCTGGGCGCCCTGTCGGTCTCAGGCCTGTGGTCACAGAGCGAGGCGCAACTGCACATCAATGTGCTAGAATTGAGAGCAGTCAGGTTGGTGTTCAAACGACTTCGGGAGCAGGTTCAAGGCCGTGTGGTCCGTCTCGAGATGGACAACCAGACGGCAATGACCTACATCCTGAAGCAGGGCGGTACGGTTTCCCTGTCTCTTCTGCAGGAGGCATGGCAGTTTCTGCTCTGGTGCGACCAGTTCGACATACGGGTAATGCCTGTTTATCTCCCTGGGGCGGACAACGTTCGAGCAGATGCACTCTCTCGTCGTATCCTGGCCCCACACGAGTGGATGCTCCATCGGGGGATATTCGGGGCTATCTCCCAGTTGTTCGGATCGTTCCAGGTGGATCTGTTTGCATCTGGGGGGACGAACCAGATTCCGGTGTTTTGCTCTCGGATACCGGATCCGAGAGCCATCGCCCAAGACGCTTTCAGCTCGATTGGACGGACAGGGTTCTGTGGGCGCCTCGCCACTACCCTGATTCCCAAAGTCCTCTTGCAGCTTGCCACCCAACCAGCTCGACTTCTTGTGCTCCTTGCACCCCTTTGGTCGGCTCAAAGCTGGTTTCCGGTACTACTCAGGTTTCTGGCTCAGCCTCCTGTACTATTACCCTTTCGACCGGACTTACTATCCCAGAACGGAGCGCCGCACCCGAATCCCAGGATTCAGTGGGTGGCCTGGCCTCTGTCCGGAATCGCCTCCACGCGAGCGGAATTCCTGCACCAGTTGCAGACACAATTCTGGCTTCGCGGAGGGATTCGACAAACGTTCAGTATGAGGATAGATGGGCCTGTTATGCGCGCTGGTGTGTCGGCAGAGGGATTCTTGATCCCTTTTCTTCAACTGTAATTGAAGTACTGGAGTTCTTGCAGTCTCGGTTAGAAGCCGGTTTAGCCGCGTCTACTATCCGGGGCTACTCCACGGCAATCTCTGCCTTCCATATCCCTGCCGACGGTGCTCTCTTGGGGCAGCACCCTCTCGTACAGCGCTTTTTAGCAGGCGTGGACAGAATCCGTCCGACTGTCCGGCGGATTAGTCCCCCGTGGGACTTGTCAATCGTTCTTGATTGGATGTCCGGTCCTCTCTTTCACGATCTGTCGTCTCTTTCACTCCAGCTGTTAAGTTGGAAGGCTGCCTTTCTTGTGGCGGTAACGTCTGGCAGGCGGGTAGGTGATATCCATGCGATGTCAGCGGATCCTGCTCTGACTGTCTTTCACAAAGACAGAGTCAGTATTCGGTTGCCAGACTCCTACCGTCCTAAGGTCGCAGGCGCCTTTCATATAACGGCGCCTATCGAACTGCCAGCTTTCACTCAGCCTCCATCGTCCGGTACCTCTCTTCGGCGTGCTCACGTCTTAGATGTCCGTAAGACTCTCAAGGCTTATATCAAACGAACGGCTGCTATCAGGAAAGATAAGCAGCTGTTCTGTTGTTATGGCGGTGGCAAGGCTGGTCTTCCGGCGAACAAGCAGACCATATCTAGGTGGCTTGTCTCTGCCATTTGTTCGAGTTACTCTTACAAAGGATTAACCATCCCTCAGGGTTTAAAGGCTCATTCGATTAGGGCAGTGGCGACATCAAAAGCATACGCCGCGGCACTGCCCATTGAGGAGATCTGCTCAGCGGCTATCTGGAGCCGACCGAGTACGTTCATCCGCCACTATCAGCTGGACAAACACTCACGGAGCGCAGTGCTCGGTTTGGCCAGACAGTTCTCACCAGTGGGCAGTGTCGTGATTCTCGTCCGAATGAGCCTTAGAAATCACGTTTGCTTTTCTCATGGTGTAGGTGTTAATAAATTCCTCAATTTTTATCGGTGGTGGTATCACATTGGTGGTGGTTTTTACCGTATGTAGCGATTTTCACTCGCTACAGTCACTGTGTTCATCCCTGCACCACGCTTCGCTGGTTTGGGTTGCTGAGGGATATATATTGGACTCGCCCATTCTTTCCCTCCCATTTTGATGGTCTGGGGGTGGGACTTGCGTCCGCCTTTATAAATTCCACCAATAGCCTATCGGCTAGGCTCCTTTTCCCCCGCCTTGCCACGCCCCCGCCTGATTGACATCAGCGGTCAGGTGACTAGGTGAGTGTACTTTCTCTCTCTGTCGCGGCTTCGGCTGTGCCTTCGACTGAACTAGGGGGTATGTTAGGCAGACAGAATACCGCTCCCGACTCAACATCGTTGGGAGTCTGTCTTATGCTTATATGTACCCCAAGGAGGACTTCTTCTGAAAAAGAATTTTACAAACCTGGAGAGGTTATGAATTCTTTGAAGAAAAGTCCTCCTTGGGGTACGGCCGCCCACCTCCCCTCATTCTGTCTGACACGTTCAGCATGAAAAGTGAGGTACGAGGTACACAGCCAGAGTTACCTGCTCTTGGCTGTAGGGGGCCCTCTACGGGGCCCTGTAGGGGTGGTCTCACCACACATAACGAGTTTTTTGTTTGGTAAAATATTTTATTGAAATATTGTTACAACTGTCGTAGGCTTTTAAAATGGACATTTTAATGCTTATATGTACCCCAAGGAGGACTTTTCTTCAAAGAATTCATAACCTCTCCAGGTTTGTAAAAGTTTTCACGCAATAAAATAACTGCTGAGGATAAACAAATGCCTGTAAATGTAGAGCATGTCACTTTTTTCTTTGTTTCAGTAAGGTTATACTGCTTTGGAAATAAAGGCGAAGTTGTCTCAGAGTGTTAATTGATGATTAAATGTTTCATAGTGGCTATTTAACATGGGACAGAGTTTTATATGTTTAGGTAAAGGCATGGGGTCCTCAGGACTTATAATAACCTGGGCGTCTTTTCACAAAGCACTAAGGTGATCGTAAGTCACTAAGGTAACCTTAGTGCAATGTTAAAGAATGGGAGTTAAGGTTAACCTTAGTAAAGGTTGCTTCTTGAAAGGAGCCCCTGGTCCCTACATTAAACAGGCAGCACAGCCTACTGGTTTTAGTCATATTTCTGGTCTGTTTTATGTCTGTTCTAAGACACTATTTCTACTCTATTTAAAGTATACAATCTCTGTGTCAGTCAATATGGTTTACTTTGAGAGAACAATGCTATGTGTGTGTCCATATTTATTGTGTAGGTGATGATGCCCACAGGAATCAGTTTAATGTCTCCCACATTGCAGGTGGAGAAGGCACGCCATGTGCTGTTGCTTCGTGAGAAGCTGGCCGAGCAGAACAAGACGTCGGAGCTGAGCAAGCTGGACAAGGACATTGTCAACATGCAGGCCAAGTATCGCAGTCAGAAAGCCAAGGAGGAAGAACTGAAAGAGTTACGATCTGACGAGAATCCGAAAGATGTAGACATAAAGGAGAAAGATTTGACAAAAACCTCAAACATTTACGACTTGAAAACGGATGGGGACAGAGAAAAGGAGCTTGCTGCTAAATGTGTTAAGCTGATGCTGCAAGGAAAACCACCTCTCAAACCACCACCTGTCAGGGTACGTAACGTCTCAAACCAATAAAAGTGGTGGGTACGTTTCGTCTCAAACCAATACCTGCCAAGGTATGTAGTTTCTCAAACCAATACCTGTTTGGTTTAGTGTCTGAAACCATCAACTGTCTGGGTATTCAGTATCTGAACCCATCAACTGTTAGGGTACTGTTAGGTTATGGTGTCTGATACCACTACTTGTCTGGGTCTGAAACAAGCACCTGTTGTGGTGTCTGATACCACCACTTGTCTGGGTCTGAAACAAGCACCTGTTATGGTGTCTGATACCATCACTTGTCTGGGTCTGAAACAAGCACCTGTTATGGTGTCTGATACAACCACTTGTCTGGGTCTGAAACAAGCACCTGTTAAGGTGTCTGATACCACCACTTGTCTGGGTCTGAAACAAGCACCTATTATGGTGTCTGATACCACCAATTCTCTGGGTACCTGGTGTCTGACACCGCTCCCTGTATGGGTACACAATCTCGAAACCAGGTGGGTATGTAGTGTCTCAAACAGCTCCCTGTTAGGGTAGGTCATTTTGGGGTGTTTGGGGTTTTGCTGTAAACTTCACACCTCTATTTGCCTGTGTTGTTCCACCAGACATCGCTGACGGACTCCATGTTAAGCTCGACAACTGCAACTTCTGAGGAGAGTGACAGTCTGCAGCATTCAGGAGCAGAATCTCTGGGCATCAGCATGACAAGTTCAACAGCATCTGAACTCTTCAAGTAAGTCCACTGCATTTGAGTTGTTACAATCATGCGAACATGATCACAATCCTAATGAACATCTGTGACTGTGCAAGAATTTGAGGATTTTCCGTCTAAAAAACTACTTATGTGACTTACAGTTCAAAGTCATCCTTTGGAAGAGCAATTGAGACTAACAAAGCTAACCTTTGTGATAAAAGTTAAATGTTCAGTGAGGCTTGCTGACTTCGTTGGCACATGTCATTGTATTCCAACTACGTAGATCGATGCTCATGATGATCACTGAATTGTCTGGTCCAGACTTGATTATTTACAGACTGTCACCATAAAGCTGGAATATTGCTGAGTGCTGCATTAACAACAAACAAACACACTCTGTGATATATATTCGACCTGTATTTATATGTAGTGTGAAAATAATCAATGGACCCCGTAGTTAGTTTGATGAAACTAGACAAGCATCACAACCAACTTTCGGTGGTGGGGTAGCCTTGAATTTAAAGCATTTGCTCGTAATGCTAAATACCCCGGGTTCGATTCCCCATGTGCTTACAATGTGTGAAGCCCATTTCTGGTGTACCCTGCCGTGACATTGCTGGAATATTGCTCAAAGCGGCTTAAAACTAAACTCACTCACTCACTCACAACCAACTTAACCATTCTCCCGACAGACCCACCAACCCCACCATCATCCAGCAGTCCAGATCTTGTGACAACCTGACCTCAACCCCCAACAGCAGCGCAGAGAGCGGTGACAGGAAGCTGTCGCTGCCGCTGAAGGGAATCCGTGCCGACATGGAGCTGCCCATGTATGTGCCCGACGTGGAGGAGGTGCGTGTCAGTCCTGTTGTGTCCCGTCGTGGCTATCTCAACTTCATGGAGGACAAAAGCAATGGCTGGGCCAAGAAATGGGTGGTAGGTGTATTTAGCCTGTCTGACAGGGGGATAGCTCATCATGTGTTCAAAGTTTCTTAAGCCCTGTTTTAGGTTTGTAAATCACTGTTAAAATATACGGATTGGGGTAGTTGTAGAAAGAGGTCCTGTGACCAAGTACTCAAATCAGTTGTAGTGCTGTAATTATGAAGTCTCACATTTCTATGTAGGTACCAGTATAATTTCTTCCCATGGAAAGGAGAGAAATATCCATTCACGAGCCATGTTGTAGACAACAGTCTCATATAGTTTATATACATTTTGGTAATGTGTATTATATCGTGAATTATTTTCTCCAGATTGTACGTCGTCCATATGTGTACATCTACAACAATGAGAAGGACCCAGTTGTTCGTGGACTGATCAACCTTGCAACTGCACAGATCGAGTACAGTGAAGACCAGCAAGCAATGCTTAAGGTACATGTATGATGTTTACTGGAAAGCCTGGTCTACATATTTGCTTGATCATGCCGTGTCAGAATGGGACAACTGAAACTAGGAAATAGTACCAAAAATGAAAATATTGAACTCGTTTGGTTTCATATGATTTTACCTTGAAATGTGACAAATATACTTGACATAAATAGCCACATATGAACCTTTGAACAAAGAAATAGAAAGGGAAAAGCCAAGACAAACTATGAGTTTTATTGCAGCTTAAGAAATTGTAAACTTTTCAATAAAGACAATATTCTCAGACAGAAAGATTTTGGTATTCTGAATGTAGGCATCTTGGCAGTACACTGAAGAAAGCATTAAGACTAAATCCAGCAGTGTTATGCCCACCATTTAACCGTCTTGTTTTCAGATGTACGTTCATTTATATCCAAACATTTCAGCATGAGGTTTCCAATTTTATACATTTTCTGGTTTGGGATCAAAGTTTGAACACAGAATCACTTTAAGACTGAACAATTCAGCAGGATTAAAAAATGAAAAGGTAGAACTCAAGTTTCATTCCGTACTACTGTGGTAGGTCAAGATGATATTACTTTGATTCCCGCCTGACCTTTACATTCCCTACCTTCTAGACTCAGAACACATTCTCCGTGATGACGAAACACCGCGGGTTCCTGCTGCAGACTCTCGACGACAAGGACTTTCACGATTGGCTTTATGCCATCAACCCCCTGCTGGCTGGCCAGATCAGGTGCGTAACCATGACAACAGTGTCACAAATAAATGGGATCAGGGCCACAGTGGTGGATGGTTAGACTAACACTTAGTCTCTGAATATATATAATTTTTATTGTAACAAATAAACCCATTTCAATTGAAAAGGAGCTCAAGTGATATGGGAGATTCTGAACATGAGGAAATCTAATCTTGCTTCATTTAGGGCTTTAGCGTTGCAGGGAGGGCTAGGATGTAGGGAAAATACTGTGGTTCAGGGTCTGGGAGACTGACTATTAGATGGTAAAAGGGTGTATATGGAACATGTTCATTTAAATACAATGTAAATAAAATAAGGGTCATTACACTCATAAAATACACATGAATAAATTATAAACCATTTTGAACACTGTTCATCTGTTTTCAGATCCAAGCTGTCAAGACGGAAGCAGGCAGTGATGATATAAAATATGTTGTTATCAGTGATGGTAGACTGTCGAAAACATTCTCCACATATTTCCCAGCATTCCATTGTAGCAACAAGGGAGATTACTGTAATCAATTTGTTTTCAAAAGGGACATAACTCTAACGAATGTGATAAGTGTATAAAGTTGTAGTGTGTTCCTTGTCTGGTATGTCAACAAAGCTGCTTACATGAAATCAGAGGCCAAAATATCTTCAATCAATTCTGAAAATGAACGTTGTACTGCAGTTTTAGTTAAAATGGGGTGGCCATGAGATGAGAAGTCTTCAGAATGAATGCAAATGTCAAGTTTTAAAGGTTGAACGTGAATGTTTGGGCAGCCCCTTTTTGACAAAGCTGAGATGGTATATATTTTTTTCAGGTGTTTATTTAGTTGCTGTTTAGTTTCTTCATTATTGATTGAAGATACAATCATGTTATGTTCCTGACAAATTTAGAATTTATTCAAGTATTTGGCAAATGTAATTGAATTAATGATTGAGAGGGAAAGTTCATTCCTTACTGCAGATGAAAAAATTCGTTTCCACTTTATTTGAAATCATTTTGGCTTAAGCAACCATGATCCCCAGAATGCTGAGCATACAAGGGAAATAACTCCTGAGAACGTCGAGCCAATGTGTTCAAATATTTGTCATTGTTTTGTGTCAGAAACTGGTGCTTCATCCAAAATGTCATTTTCATGCTAGGAAGTCCTTGTTTGATTATCTCCTGCTTAGGTAAGAGAAATGTAATTATCCAGAGTTGAACAGATGTAGAGCCGGTGTTCCACACGGAAAGCATTTTAGAACAAGAACCAACTGATAATTAATCACAGCAGCATAATAATGTCTGACAGATAAGAAAAGAGGTTAGGTGGAGCCTGCATGTTGAGTCACTCATCCTGTGTATTCAAACTTTATTGATCGTCTGTCGCGGAGGTAATCAAAGCAAGGTCATGTATGAGTTTGGATATCCAGAAAGTGTTCATGTAGGATAATCGCAATATGTAGTATACTTCATGTGGATTTTGACCTCAAGTCATGTATTGCCGAATCAATTATTCTACACTACTATTTACTGTGTATATTGTCCATGTTGCTGTGTGGTTGAAATTGTGATATTCATGTTGACTTCCTATCAACTTAACATACCAGTGCTGATTAATTATTCACAGATTGGTTCATATTATTAGACCAACATTGGATGTACTTAAATCTTTTGTCTTTTTGGGCATAATTTATTGGTAGAGTAGTCGATCAGAAGGAGTGACAAAGTAAACGCCTTGATTGACTTCATGAATGCTTTACTTTGGAGAAAGGGAAGTTTTGGTGATCTTGATCGTCTGAAGAAAGACAAAATTCCAGTGTGTTTGTTCCTATCAGGGAGAAAGATTGACTTAGGAAAAGTTGTTTTAGATGCTTTTCCCTTTGGTTCTGTGAAAGTTGAAAATATTTTTAAGTGATATAATTCACTCCAGGAACAAGGTGTCGATTGTAATAATGAGAATTAGGTATGTCTTGATAGACCTATGATAGACAGGTGTGAGGACATGTATGATACAACTTACATCAGTTCTAAATGCTACGTTCCATTGTCCTTGAACCGTCTTAAGTAAATCATAATCAGTGGGCAGAATTTGCACATGTGCATGTTCCTTTGTCACTTCTTTGGTGAAATGATCCTAGTCCATTGCTAATCTCTGTTACACTGCCGTGTGGCTTCACTTGCTCAGTTGACTAGCTCACAAACAAAATATGACATTGTTTATCTCAATATACTTCCGTCTGTGTTGAATAGTGCTCCTACGTTGTGACATAGAATTACATGTCAATTCTAGCCACAAAATGTTAGGGATTTTAGATGATCGAATTAGGCAGTATACAGGGTTGTGTTCTGACTCCAGTTCTTTCTGTTGTAGTAACATTGAAAAAAAAGATTATATTATATTGCTGATAAATTTGATGACTTATTTAAGTGTATTTTGGAATCTTTATCAGTTTAAAGTGTTCATAATCATCAAATTTGATTATATGATACTGCTAATAAATTTGATGTTAGGTACACCTGGTTGTCACTCATTCGGGTGTCATTTTGAGTCTTAATCATGTTAAATTTGATGAGTTGACACGATACAGACAGGTCATTTAGCCTCCTTAATATTTTGTGGGTCATATGTTTCATGTACATATGTAACCATGGTAACAGCATTTACTCACACCATGCGACTACAGTATATATACACTCATGTTGTTTGTGTGTAAATGTGATCATGGTTAGTGTTTATCCTTTCCCACTACAAGTATTTGGGGTCAGGTGTCTAAATCCCAATGTATTTATGTCTTCAGTATTGTTAGACAAAATCCAAAACAATTCCCCAATTTACAGATCAGGATTAAATGCTGATTGGAAGAATATCAACAAATTCAGTGTCAGTTTGTGACTCCTGAGGATTGAAGATTAAATCTGGAAATCAATGAAATCAAGAGTACATGTCAACAATTTCTGAATTTGTTTTGAGTGGTAGAAAGTTATGCAAATAAATTTATTTTGAAATACTGATAAGCATAATTTTTTTAACTGAATGAAACTACATTTACATTCAAATGTGTATCATATTTGTTATCATTTTGACAAATATTTTTCGACTGTATTGTTTATTTTTGAGTTTTGTTTTCTTATGAAACTGTGTGCAAACAAGGTTATATGATTGGTTGTGCTTTTGAATATCTAATATTCAAAGGAAAAGAGAGATTTCCAAAGATTCTTTAAAAACAGAAATTATGTTTTTATGCATTTTTTCAAGGGCATTTAAGTGTTTTTAGGTATTAGTTTGAAAAGTAGCTATGAAGTGGAATAACTATTCATTATACAGATGAAATTACTTTAAATAAGAAGAATGACTTCTTTGATTGACAAAATATTTTCTGCAGGCCCTTTCATACATCATTCTGGAGGTAATATCTCTTTTGTTCAAACACCATTCATAATATTTAACCGAAATTACCTGTCACAAATTAAACACATTCAATTAATCTTTGATTCAGATAAAGTTCTGGTTGTAACTGCCATTGTTTTGAAATGTATGCACAGAAATAAGTTGGATTTATTTGACTTGTTTTTTGCACAAATGTTTGAATTTACCTGTATACACAATGCATTTAAACAAAAATACAGGTAATCAAATATTTTCCCTATGAACTGTGATTGCTATTGTCTTTGTCAATTGTACAGTAATCAGTGTGCGATTGTATCTAGCCGAATGTTTCATGTAAGATATGTATGTAGTGCTTGACATGCTTTTTGTATCATTTCTGCTTGATTAGCTCATGTACAGCATAGGTGTATCTTGTTCAAGTTGTTGATCATTCTATGCATGTCTTTTCATAACTCTCTCATTTATGCCTTAATCTGTACAACTTCACAAGCAGATTATTTTTCCATTCTTTTGAATTAAATGTTAAAAGTTTCTTGTTTTTAAAAACATCTGGGTTTATCAGAAACTACTGAAAATATTGAATTACAAACCCTAATAATATTTAGATTTTATATCTTAGGTCATAAATATTTGAGTTATGAAAAGAAAATCTCACATAAAAATTCATTCCATGACTATCATGATATATCAACGTGCAATATTTACAATCTGTGAAAAAAACACCTTTTTTTTTTTGTTATTGCAGTCTGAAGGCATATCTAAAAATGTATCTTTAGTTACTGAATTTTATGACTTTTTCTTGAAGACTATTTATGGTTCAGAATGAAAGTTTATATTCATTTTGAAAATGGGTATTAATACTCGGTTAATCCTCAGGTATGTAGCAAATTAAACTTATATCATTTATAATGGAACTATCAAATACTACCAGATATATGTACTATTTTAGAGGAAATGGCAAATAGGCAGATATTTGGGTCTAATTCAAACTCCATTAGAAAAATATTTCAGTAAAGGTTTTGATGTGCTGTTTCAGTTCACAATACTAGGATTGTATTGAGATTTTCTGTCTTGTTCTTTTTGCTGAATCGGCAAAAGGAGAAGGCAACCAATAATGGATATAGCTTTCAGTGAAGATTCCATTTTTGGAATCATTGCTTATTACAGTAAGTATCCATATTTGGAGCTATTTCGTATCTTTCGAAAGGAAATATTCTCAATTCAAACTGTGAACTCAACTCAACACTCAACTTTATCTGAACTGGTCAGAAATGGAAGTAGGATAATTTGATGTGAAAATCTTGAGTTTACTTATTTAATGATGTTCATCCACTTTCATTTGAAATGGATGGTTATCTTTGGATTTATCCTTATGAAATAACTTACACGTTTTGTGTATGAAGATTGAATGTGTACAGAGTTACACACATGATATGGTTGTTCTTGTTAAAACGTTACTTAGTGCAACAGGGTTGCTGCTCAACTTGAGTCCACGCTGTCATGCTTCAGATAATGGAACATTCACTGCCCAATGTCAGTGCTGCCAGCTTGATGGAAAAGGATCACGTATCAAGCAGAATATTAATAACTTCTTTCACTTTGTCCTATTTCATAATTCAGTTTAGATAATCACTTTCAAGCACTAATGGTTAAATCTGTGCTATTTGTAAATTATTTCTTACATATATACTGTAAAAACTGCTTTTTGCCTTTAAATGGCTTTCCACAGATTGTTCATGAAGGTTTGAAACTGATAAGCACAGTAGAATTCCATGTGCTGTTACTGCATTGTTCTCACAAACCAATCAAATCGTTTCTCACATCCGTGGTTGACCCACACATCAGAGAAATCAGCCAATGAAATCCATGTTATATAATTGTATCATCCAATCATATTCTTTGATAGTGTCATCCAATTCAGATAGTTAGGCAAACCATTCCAGTTGTCTATCACAATACTCATTGGCTTTCTAGCCTGTGATGTCATTGTTGCATCAGATATTTGTTGTATGCAGTATAAACTACCTGTTCGCAATACTGTGTATTTCTGCCAGTACGTGGAAATAAATATTGCTTAGTGCAAAGTGTCTGTTGTGTTGTTTTAAGTTCATAGATATACACAATGGGAAACGAAATAATTTGCTTGATCTTCACGTAAACGAAAATATGCACCAAAATATTAATGATCCCTGACCATTTATGGTCAGTATACCTGCGGGTGAAACTGATGGAAGTTTCAGGGCCTGATGTGTCTGACCAGGGATACGTTATATAGTCTCCCTGGTTTGACTAATCTGCCTCACAGTCCCTAAACCGTTGTATTTCCCGTCCGCACAGGCCTTTCTGCAATGCTAAAGCCCTAAGTGAAGCAAGTCTAGATTTCATCAGGATCTGAATCTCCCATCTCATAAGGGCTCTTTTTCAGTTTAAAGGAATTATTTGTTTCTGTCAAAATTATGTATATTCAGGGACTAGCGCCAGGCTGCCCACTGACACAAAGCGTGGATATCACGTTTGCTTTTACATAACAAATAATATTGTAAGATCACAGTGGTTTGTAGTAAAATGTATTTCATATTTCTATTGTCACCTGTATCGTACCAATACGTTATGATCTCCTTTGTCTTGAGAGGTGCTGGGGCAGCCTGGTGGTTATAGCTATGGGGTGATATCATCCTTTGGCTTATCGCCCTGGGCCTAGATTTTCGAAGCTAAGATAGTTGTAAGTGCCATACATTAACATTAACTTACGGCTATCTTAGCGCTAAGAGAGCTTCGAAAATCGAGGCTCTGGTTCGGAAAAGTCATTTAGGTTCTACCATTCAAATTGGGATATCCTAGTCATTCGTTATGCCGCAGTACCGTGCTCATGGGTGCATGCACTGTACGCACTTGTCTGTGTGCGCTTGGTCAGGTGCGGTGCTCTTTTAGGCTTGTACTCGATGTATTACTCATCCGCTTGAAATAGGCATCCAGCTACTCATGCTTGGAAAGTCAACTGAATCGATCAGATGGTCAGGTCCTTTGACTTCATTGTTTGCGTGTCCTCGTACCACGTCAACATGATGGATGGTGCTCATAATATCGATCACTGGTTTAAACTTGATTGGTTACGGCCTGAGGTCACGCAGATGGAAACAACACACCAATTACTTATGAACCAGCCTGCAAAGAATATTGGAATTGCATAGAATTTAGCAGGATAAACAGCACATGCCAAAAATGTAAGGATAAAATCAGTTCTTTGGCGTTGATGCGAATTACAACAGTTAGAATAATTTCTACTGAGCAAAATCAGCGTCGTGATTGTTAATTAGGTCAGACTGAGTGGAGTATTTACATCATATATAATTCCTGTATCTCAAAGACGAAAGTAACCGTCAAGTTGCGAATGCAACTATATAACCTTAAAATAATGTGGATATATTTAATGCTTTCTATCGTTTCTTGGAGGCATTGCATCTGTATCCATAGTGTTGTTTGATTGATTGTTGTTTAATGCCGCACTCAGGAATATTACAACTATATGGCGGCGATCTATAAATAATCGAGTTTGGACCAGGCAATCCAGTGAATCAACAGCATGAGCATCGATTCGGAAACGATGACGTTTCAACCAAGTCAGCGATCCTGACCACCCGATCCCGTTATAGTCGCCTCTTACGACAAGCATGGGTTACTAAAGACCAATTCTAACCCGGATCTTCATTGGACGCATCCATAAGGAGTGTACGATCGGGGATATAATTGTGCAAAGTAGTATTCATTTTCAAAGTCTAACTCAAGTGTACCTTTGTGGTGGTATGACGACTGCCCATTATACGAAGATCGTTCCTTCATCCTTGACACGGTTTGGTGTGACCTGCTATCAAGATGAAAATAGCTCCATCAAAAGCACAATTAAAAAAACCCCATTGTTTCCTTATCTCCTATCTATGCCGATCACTAAAAGTACTTTGGATAAATAAATGGAAATGGCCCTATATAAATATCTTTCTAAAACCAATGCCCTTTGGCATTTTGATGATTCGTATTGTTGGACCGGAGACCTTTTTCACGTGGATTTCATGGAATTTGTCACAGGCTTCGTGGAAATGTTCAGGACATTGTTTTTGTTAACTTGTTAATTCGTACTGAATAAGTGATTTGGGCTTTAGGCCGCTCTGAACTGTGTTCGACCCGCGAAGATCCGGGTTAGAATTGGTCTTCAGCAACTCCTTGTCGAAAGAGGCGACTAACGATGGTTGACAAATGTCATCGCATTCATCGATGCTCATGATGCCAATCACTGGATTGTCTGGTACAGACCGCTGTCATGTAGCTAGAATATTGCTGAGTGCGGCGTTAAACAACAGAGAAACAATTTCAGTTACATCACGATGTGTCAACTGTATGTGTGACGAAAGCTCGATGTGACGCCAATCTCAGATGTGTACCACTTCGGTGAAACAAGGGGCGGTGGGGTAGCCTAATGGTTAAAGCTTTCGCTCGTCACGCCGAATACCCGGGTTCGATTCCCAAAATGGGTACAATGTGTGAAGCCCATTTCTGGTCTCCCCCTCCGTAATATTGCTGGAATATTGCTGAAGCTGTGTAAAACCAAACTCAATCATTCGGTGAAACAAACGAACTGCGGTAGTGATGAAGCTCTAAACATAATCTTGGCGAACCGGGATTCGAACCCACACTCACAGGTTTAAGGTGTGCGGACCGCCTCCGTGGTGTAGTGGTTAGAGCGTCCACCCGGAGAGCGGAAGGTCGCGGGTTCGATCCCTGACCGCGTCATACCAAAAGACGTTAAAATATGGTACTTGTTGGTCCTTCCCTGGCGCTCGGCATTAATGGGTAAAACAAGGACTGGTCGGCTCGGAGTCAGTATAATGTGTCTGAGTGGGGTATTCATGCTTCACTGCGGCATGGTATCTAGGTGGGCTAGCACTATAAAAGCAGCTTCAGTCTGGGCTAGTTCAAGCAGCCGCACATACACATACACACGCATGCACGTCGTCATATGAGCGAAATATTCTCAAGCACGACGTAAAACCCAATTTCACCTCACCTTATGGCGTGCGTGAGGGAACGAACCAAAGGAGATCTGTACCATCGATCTACTTGGCGGACTCAAATGTTGGATAACCCGTACCCACATGTACATAATCAACGGAACGACATGTACTCTGTGTTAATTTGTTTGATTTTAAACATCATTTGCTTCTATTGCTGTCTGAGCTAAAGAAGTCAGACTCATCAGGCCCCGGTTTCTCGAAACAAACTTAAGTCTGAGTTTTGATTAAGTCAGAGTTTTTACTCAAATTTGAGAAAACAAAGGAAAATGCATTTCCCAGAATATCAATATTAAACTCGAACTTAGTAGACAATTTGAGTTTGGTGGATAGATTTCTAAAGTTGTTTGGGATTTTTTTATTTAAAAAATGCAGTCTTGTTAAAAATTCAGCTGTTTCAAATTGTCAAACTCAGTTTGAAATTTGAGTAAAAACTTGAGGCCAAGGCATCCAAATACCATAATTTCGGCGAAAGTATTTAGTATCAACTATATATGTGTGTAAGATATGTTTTTCATATATATTTATAATATAGAAAAAGTATTACAATTACGTTTCTGCATTTTTGCCAAAGTGAGTTTTACGCCGCTTTTGGCAACATTCCAACAATATCACGTCGGGGGTCACCAGAAATGGACTTCACACATTGTACCCATGTCTTCGGCGTGACGAGCGAACCCTTTTATCACAAGGCTACCCCGCCTCCCTCCTCACCCAGAGACCCGTGAAGACCCGGGGTAGAATAGGTCTTCAGCAACCCATGCTTACCACAAAAGGCGACTATGCTTGTCGTAAGAGGCGACTAACGGGATTGGGTGGTCAGGCTCGCTGACTTGGTTGACACATGTCATCGGTTCCCAGTTCCGCAGATCGATGCTCATGCTGTTGATCACTGGATCGTCTGGTCCAGACTCGATTATTTACAGACCGCCGCCATATAGCTGGAATATTGCTGAGTGCGGCGTAAAACTAAACTCACTCACTCCTCACCAAGTAGTGTTTCGTCATCGACATTGCAGCCAAGGATGACCAACATTACATCATAATGGCGACTGAACAGTTGAAACTAACAGCAAGGGTCACAGTGTGACGGCACATTCAAGGAAATGACGACCGAGAAATTAGATTAAATATTTTCAAAAACGTGTTCTCAAGAAAGTCCATGAAAGAGTATATCCTTATCAAATAATGTTTTCAAAATAGAATATTCTTTCGTTATGGGTCGTCCGAAGCCCATTCCACCATGCAGTTGCTGTCCGTTTACACATCCTTCTGACTTTCGGTTGGGGCGATGTAGGCAAAAGCGTTCGCTCTTCACGCCGAAGGCCCGGGTTCGATTCCCCAAATGGGTACAATTGTGAAGCCCATTTCTGGTGTCCCTGCCGTGACATTGCTTGAATATTGCTAAAGGCGGCGTAAAACCATACTCACTCACACATTCATTCAATCTGACTTCCGGTTAGTCAGGAGATTTCCGTTATGTGTGTATTCAAGAACTTTGCCAGGTTCTCCGAATTCTGCTACACCTCTTCACTGTAGGGTAAATACACAGCATCGCCACGGACTACAAAGCCGTAAGTATTAACGTTCTATTTTATTGTTGCAATTACAAAAACAGAACAGACGAACCCGTTTATTTCAACTAATGTAATTGTTATCTTTTCTAGGTTCTCCGAATTCTGCTACACCTCATCACTGTAGGGTAAATACACAGCATCGCCATGGACTACAAAGCCGTAAGTATTAACGTTCTATTTTATTGTTGCAATTACAAAAACAGAACAGACGAACCCGTTTATTTCAACTAATGGAATTGTTACCTTTTCTAGGTTCTCCGAATTCTCCTACACCTCATCACTGTAGGGTAATACACAGCAGCAGCATGGACTTCATGGCGACGTGGAAGGCCTGCAGATCTATCTGACCCCACATGGAAGTAAAAGCAGCCCTTTCCCTTGAACACAAACCGTTATTAGGAAACCAAAACAGCTTTTATCACCTCAGGTAAAATAGGTTTGTGCATTTGAAACTTTTATTATTTTTTTTATAGAATTCATGAGAATAAACATTTAAAGATAAACAAATAAACATTTAAAGATAAACAAAATTAACGATATCTTTCTTTCTTTCCAGGAACACGACAGATACAAGAACATGGTGTATAGTATCAGTTCACCTTGAAGTTACCGACACTGTCCCTTTTCTCAAAATCAAGTTTGTCGTATCGTGGTCTTTTGGCACGTAGTATTTTAGGTGACATCAAATGTCATTACTAATTTGTTAATTTTCTTCCAAATAAACAGATACAGCCCATATCTTAACCATATTGAGAATGTGTGGGGACTAATGAAGGACAGAATAAACCAAAAAGGACATAGAAATATTGAGGCTATGAAGAAAGAAATTGTCGAATATTGGGATACGTTATCAAACGATTTCCTACAAACTTTGATCGCTAGTATACCTAGGCGCGTTCAGTCGTGTATTGCAGGGCAAGGAGGTCTCACAAAGTACTGAGAAGACACTTAGACTGTAAGAGAATAAACGAGAATATTTTTAAACGTTTTATTCGAAATAGACCCAATGTCACACACATTGTGCTCTCGTCCTACATCTGTTAAATACCATTAAAATGACGTTTAACCATTACTCATTCATTACGTCACAAAAAACAGACTTCGAACAACAAACACACATCAGCACAGATGCGCTAATGACGCCCCGTTTAGCGAAGAGCCGGTGTGTGCTCAGTGATACTCCTCTGAACAATGCGTAATGTTCGACGTATGCCATAATCTCAAGTGACGTCATCCCGCTGTACTGTCTCATTAGTTGCCCATATTGTGCAATACATTGGACTGTATGTATATAATCCCGTTTTTGGTTACATAACCCTGATTACACTCATAATTCCACCGATTTCACACACAAACTACCACTGATGTTATATCCACTGGAACACATATTGCAACCATCGTATCTGAAGTGACCGAGACCAGAACGATGCTCAAATTCAGGAGACCAGTGAAGGTCCGGGTTAGAATGAACCTTTGAACAGTAACCCATGCTTTTCGTAAGAGGCGACTAACGGCATCGGGTGATCAGGCTCGCTAGCTTGGTTGACACATGCCATCGGTTCCCAATTGCGCAGGTCGATGCTCATGCTGTTGATCACTGGATTGTCTGGTCCAGACTTGATTATTTACAGACCGCCGCCATATAGCTGGAATATTGCAGATTGTGGCGTAAAACTAAACTCACTCACTCAAATTCAGGAACTGGGGTAATCTGTCCAATCATCCATGTCTCTGTTTAGACTCTCTTTGTAATTCATGCTAATGGGTCTGGAAGGCAGACGAATGACGAGCGTGTGTGTCTGCGTGCGTGCGTGTGCATGTGCGTGTCTGTTTTATTTTGAACTGGTTGGGACTAAGTTTGTTCTATTGTGCTAGAAGGCGAAGACACCAGATCGCAGCTTAACATAAACGTCAGTATACTTGTTCCAACCTCGTAATGCCGAGCAGGCAGGGTAATAACAAGTACCATCTTTTGGTATGATACAGGAATCGAGCCACCACCTTCCGCTTTCAGGACAGATTCACCAGCCACATTGGTGGTATATGAAGATTAGATCTGGTATTAGTGACATTGAATGAAAATGTATTTTCCGACCTAAACCATGCGCGTCTGTTCACATTTCAGTATATACGAACAAATATGATTTATTACATCCCAGTCACTAGCATATAGCTCAGTTCATGAAATGTTTTATTGCACAGTTCGAGTCTCTTTAAGATTCTCCCTAATGGTAAAACTACAACAGACCTGTTTAAACTTGTTTGTATTTACAAAGGATAGAATTTTTTGTTTATCATAATTGGCAGGAAACGTATTTAATAAAAGTCTCTGATTGGCTGAACACCAAGCTGGAAATATATATCCTCAGGTCCACACGAACGTATTATATGTATGTATGTATGTAACTCGATGTATGTGAGGTATTTAATTGACTCCGAACCAGTCCTTGTTCTACCCATTAATGCCGGCGCCAGGCAGGGACCAACCAAGTACCATGTCTTTTGCTATGGTCGGGCATCGAACCCGCGACCTTCCGTTCCACGGACGCTCTAACGTATTCCTCCATGTATGTGTGTGTGTGTGTGTGTGTGTGTGTGTGTGTGTGTGTGTGTGTGTGTGTGTGTGTGTGTGTGTGTGTGTGTGTGTGTGTGTGTGTGTGTGTGTGTGTGTGTGTGTGTGTGTGTGTGTGTGTGTGTGTGTGTGTGTGTGTGTGTGTGTGTATTGACTGTGTGTGTGTGTGCGTGTGTGTACTTTGTCCAGGTGTTCTAAGAGGCAAGTGGAGTTGTTTTCAAGAGAGTAAATACTAAATACCGCAATAACGACCTACTCCGTCTGGTGAAACCGGATTAGAATCCGGAGCTGCTGGACACGATCGCGGAAAACAAATTGTTATTGCGCTTTGGTGACTCCGCAACATACCTGAACTTTGTGTACAGGTGACACAGAAGGAAGTGTACACGGATCGGTCAAACAGAAAGGGGATTTTCATTGGCTGGAGTATGGTGGCTGATTAGGGCCAACGACGCACCTTGTTAATATGCGCAGCAGCTTCACAATATAAGTGTAAGAGCAACCAAGTTCAACAGATCGACCCGTGGACAACGAGGTAAGATATGGTGCTCATATTATCCAGTTTATACTGGTTTCATTTTGAAATGTTTTATATTTGACAGCATTAAGAAATGATCCAATTGAGAAGGATTTTCCATCAAAAATCGACATGTAGTAATTTTAAAGTTCAAGTAATTGAATAACAGCTCTAATTGTCTTATTGTACCAACGGTAATTAAGTTAAGGAAAAGGTCCAACTGGAAACAGAAAGCCTTTCGTTTATGATTTTACAAGCGGGTTGGTCGATGTCCGAAAACTACAACAAATATATTTTTTATCGTACATTTACCCGTAAAGATCTGGGTTAGGATTGATCTTCAGTAACCCATGCTTGTCGTAAGATGCGACTAACGGGATCGGGTGGTCAGGCTCACTGACTTGGTTGACACATGTCATCGTATCCAAACTTTGACACATGTCATCGTATCCCAACTGTGTAGATCGAAGCTCATGCTGTTGATCATTAGATTGTCTGGTCCAGACTCGATTATTTACAGACCGCCGTCATATAGCTGGAATATTGCTGAGTGCGGCGTAAAATCAATTTCACTCACTCACTTTATCGTACAGTTTTAATAGCTGATCTATTTATAAACGAGCGCCTGTGTAAAATATCCAGAAATAACCCAGAAGGATGTAGTAATTAAAATGATTTCGTTGAATTCTATGTGAATTCCACACACAGTGGGAATTCCGTCTAGGTTAATAGGTCCACAGCAATATATGCTTCCCTGAGTTCATGAACTTCATGGAAATTTAACGATTTCGAAATTTGTAATTGCAGCTTTGACCTATCAGATAACCTGGAATACTAAATTATTTAGATGTAACCTAAACAATTTATTTGTGGTGTACAGTACCCTAAGCCCATGTGCACAAGCCTAAATGAGACTTCTCGTTGAATTCGATGTATTAGTATACTACTCACAGTGGGAATTCAGGTTAAGTTTATAGGTCCCCAGCAATTTATGCTTCTCTGAGTTCATTGAAATTTAACGATTTCGAAATTTGTAATTGCAGCTTTGGCCTTTTGAGACATTTTGAAATAATAATTAAGTGAGATATTACCTGTGTGTTTTATGTGTGGGTAAAGGTTATAGAAGATGGAATACAGATGTATAGGGTAAGTGCGCGGACGTCAGAGGGGACAAGCTGTAGGCGTACACGTTGAACATAGGTGGGAGTTGAGAGCGCGCGGGGATCACCGGAGAACCTGACATTAGTGAGTGAATAGAGTTTTACGCCGCCTTTAGCAATATTCCAGCAATATCACGACGGTGGACAACAAAAATGGGCTTCACACATTGTACCCATGTGGGGAATCGAACCCAGGTCTTCAGCATGACGCTTTAACTACTAGGCTACCCCAACGCCCAAGTGCGTAATGCCAGAGTGATGGTAAATTATGTGGCCAGGTGATTGGGCTGCGATTGAGCAAGGGAGGGAAAACTTGTGGAAGGGCGGACCTCAAAGGGGTCTCAAAGGGGAGAGTTATTACACAGGGGGGAAGGCCTGTCTATGCTCAACCGGAAGTTGGTCGTCATCAACTACCATTTCCCCGATAGACAGTGGATCCCGGTAGTGAGCGAGTCTCAAATTTTGTCAGATTTCGATATAACCAAGTAGTAAATGTTTATGTAATCGACTTATCTTATGAGCTGAATGTTCATGGATTATAACCCCTATATCATTTGGTCATGACACATTATATTTTGTAAACAGTGAAAATAAACTGAGCGCTTAGTCTCGAGAATGAAGCCTGTTATTAAAGAATCGTTTAGTTCGTTTGGGGGCGGTGAGATAGCCTAGTGGTTAAAGCGTTCGCTCATCACGCCGAAGACCCGAGTTCGATTCCCTTCATGGGTACAATGCGTTCGCTCATCACGCCGAAGACCCGAGTTCGATTCCCTTCATGGGTACAATGCGTGAAGCCCTTTTCTGGTGTTCCCCGCCGTGATATTGCTGGAATATTGCTAAAAACGGAGTAAAACCATACTCACTCACTGGTCGTTTGAGCTGGAATAAACACTAATATTTCGGGGTGGTTTGCACTGATCATCAGGAAGTCTGAAAGATGATATATTTAATCACTGATCGAGCTGTGAACACTCTTCTGACAATTCAGTGTATATGCATATGTAAATATATCCATTATATTTTTTCACGTATTGTATTTTTAAACAGGATGAAGACGGTGTGTGTTTTGGCGTGTCTTCTTGTCGTTTGTGGAGCACTTTCCTCCGACCTAGGTGAGCAAACATTTCTAGGCAACGTTGAATAGCGCCCCTTCATTTTTCCAGGATGCGCGCATCATAGGTTCGAATCCCGTTTAAGCCCTGGTTATGATCTTTCACCTTTGATTTTTAAATGTCATCATATTACGTACACGTATCTGTTTCTTTTTATTGAGGGGCGGTGGGGTAGCCCAGTGGTTAAAGAGTTCGCTCGTCACACCGAAGACTCGGGTTCGCTTCCCCACAAGGGTATATTGTGTGAAGCCCATTTCTGGTGTCCCCCGCCGTGATATTGCCGGAATATTGCTGAAAGCGGCGTAAAACCCAACTCGCTCACTCACAACTGTTCGTTGCAAAATCCCGATATGTATTTTCTGATGTCTGAGCAACCTTTGCATATCAAGTATTTTCTTACAGGCGTTGCAGTGGAGTTGAAAGAACGCCTCTGCACATGCGTAGTCCGCTGCTGTCCTTTTACTGGCCCATCAATCCTCAAAAGAAGTGTGGCCCAAGCTTTCTCAGACATGGCCCACATTCGACACAAGCGATGTTGTCGTTGCACTAACTGCAATCAGGCTTCTTAGTTTATTTCATGAGTGTGGTTTAGTACCGTTGTAGCAGGGAGACTCTATACGTTGTAGAGTATCCCTGGTTGTAGCTTAGGGGTTAAAGCGTTCGCTCGTCACGCCGAACACTAAGGTTCGATTTTCCACATGGTAGTTTCTGGTGATATTGCTGGAATATTGCTAAAAGCGGCGTAAAACTATATTCACAACTGTGTGATAGGTTTACACTGTAAACATAGTTTGTGTTCGATTGTGTATAAAACATTATAACATTATCAAATGTTGAACGCCATTACGAGTACACAGTAGGATGCATGACATGTCAATGCAGTGCTGGTGGCGATAGTCGCAGTTACACGAAATTACGTAAAGATTCATATTACTAGTACTGGAAATTATTAACAGATTTGCATGAAAGTAATTTTGATTTACACGAACTTGATACGTTTTTCGTCCAGCCTGATTCGTTTTAAACCAAATCCTGAAATTCGAATATAACAAAACGAAAGATGATTCTCACCGTTATGTTTTAGTCTTTTAGAGGCGGTGGGTAGCCTGATGGTTCAAGCGTTCGCTCGTCACTCCGAGACCCGGGTTCAATTTCCCACATGGGTACAATGTGAGGAAACCATTTCTGGTGCCCACCGCCGTAATATTGCTGGAATTTTGCTAAAAGCGGCGTAAAACTGAAGTCACACACTCATTTGTTCCCGCTTGGTCACGAGCGTCAGGTATCACCCTTACATTGATATGTGTTCCGTTGTTCTTCGTACGGGTTTGTTGCCGAATGTATGTACATGAATGGTTTATGATATAAACTGTTGAATGGCCTGCAGAGGCTAGTTTGAGCTGAAATGTCGTCAGTATATATTCACTTTAATTTGTGTACATGTAAGTGTCAATCAGCAGAAAATAAATTGTGGAATACGGCCTCCGAATTACTGTGTATAATCCTTAACACAGAACCAGCTCACCAGGGAGAGAGAGAGAGAGAAAACGGTGGCTGGGGTAGCCTAGTGGTTATTGCATTCTCTCGTCACGCCATCTGGGTTCGATTCCCGAGATGTAGGATGTGGTGTCCCCCGCCGTGATATTGTTAGCATATTGCTAAACGCGGCGTAAATCTAAACCCACTCACCCACTCAATTGATGGGCTTTTAATGATAAGAATGATTGTGTCTCAGATACACCACCCCAGCTGGCGATTAATTTGATCAAACATGTCACTAATTACATCATGTGCACAATCATTTACTGCGCGTTTAGTTTCAACATATCATCCTTCATTATCAAGACTATTTTTGATACGACGTTACAAATTCGACGGGTGTTCTCCCATTTGTGAGAACTCCCAGTTGTGAGACACATTAATTAATGGTTGAGTGCGCATAGGTGTTGCTTCCACATCCCTACAATGAAAGTGGGAACAGACCTGTTGCTGAAGAGTACCCACAAGGGGCATAGTTCATTAAAACAGAAGACATTGTTCGATAGATACAGGAATAATGAAATAGATTATCCAAGATCCACCTGTTTGTCTTGTCTGGATTTCATTTACTGGCCAAAGTCACATAACTGGAATATTGATGAGCAGCCGCTTAGTGGCAATTTTATGAATTGCAAACCGGTTTTATGAAAAAGATAGTCTTCAACGAGCAAGGGAGGTAACTGCGACATCATGCAGCGCCGATACAAAATATGTACCAAATTACATCTGCAAATGTATATTTTCTTAACTCATGTAGAACGAACACAGTTGATTGCATTTACAATTCGAATGGTTCATCCTTGTGGTTGCAAATGTAATTCTAGAGAGATGGAAAGTAACACCCACGTCCAGGGGTGGAAAGAACTTTAAAATTGCTAGTGTACTCCGGTACAGTGGCACATGTAAAATCACTTGCCCTGATAATTTTTCGACTATACCTGCCGATTTTCTTGTTGATTTTTCAAATAAACAACATAATTAACATTGGAAAGTCAACTGGACACCGGTACAGTGTGATATACAAATCTGCTCGCCCGACAGAAAAAAACTCACTTTACTGGGACGTCATGCAATGGGTTATTTTCACCCCTGACGTCAAACCATTCATGGTTTGTAACTATGGTGAAATAAAGAAATTACACAACCTACTGTGTGGACACGCCACAATATGGCGTGCTTGGGATGAGAAACATACTGCCTCGTCAACTGGTGATAAATAGAGAATCTCACCCTCGTGTCTACTGATATCAATTATATCAACATGAGTTGATAAAGTTACAAACATCCGAGGCTTGCCGAGGATATTTTTACCTTTATCAACGAGTGTTGATATAATTGATATCAGTAGACACGAGGATGAGATTCTATTTATAATAAAAAATCATTCTTCATTAGTTTTCAATGAAAACATGTATCTCTCAACACTCTACTACCATTAGACTTGCAGTGCAGCGAGGTCAATAAATTGTCATAGCATTGTGACGTCATCAAGTTGATGACGTCATAGTATTGTCAGGGCATTGTACAAAATCTACTGTCAAAACGATATTTCCTAGGAGATATCATGTGATATCACACAAGCGATATCTCCTGTGGAACACAGTTTTGGCTGATAAATTCCACATGCTAAAGGTCTGCCATAATGTGATCGAAAAGAGTAGTCAAAAGTTAATAAATACATTTTGTTAATTATAGTTAAAACAGTTATTGTAACATTTTTCAAGTGTGTAAATTAATTTCTCTTTAAAATGATCACGAAGTTACATTACAGTGTTTACTTTTTAAAGACATTTACCTGAGTAGGTTAATTGATTATCTTTTAAAGTTTCATTAAGTTACCACCACAAGATTCAGGGTTAATCCATTCTATCAGATAGGGTAGTACGGTGTGTTTTCTTTGTTAATTACCTACTCCACTGTCTCAACAGGGAGTCTCACAATTGGGAGTTCTCACAAATGGGAGTAGACCTTTCGACGTCACTTCTGTCGCTCCCCAAACAACTAAAGATGTGAAACAGCGAATCAGTGTTTAGCTGATGTACGTATTTCTCAATGACCCTATTTCCCCAATATCTCCCACGTCACGGATATGCCCAGGATGCATGTGTTATTCAATTGCTACAACATCCGGACTGTCTCACGCTCGTTGTGTGTCCTCTGCTTTCAGCCTGCGGCGTTCGTTGCTCTGATTGGATTGTATAATCACCTCGTCAAGCGTTTCACAGTTTTCATGTCTCTTTGTAAATCACAAATAGATTAAACACACCAGTGTTTTTACGGTGTTCGCTGTTGTAATTATCTACGCAGCACTTCCTGGTTGTTGACCTTGAATTCGGTGGGAGTAAAATCCTGGTAGGGCTGAAACAATTCAATTGAATAAAGTTATGGACATGTAGCTGATGTAAACTAATTAATAATAATAATTAGTCCATTTATATTCCGCTAAAGCCACACCGAGAGCTTTCTCATAGCGCAGACAGTTCATTATTACCCCGGATAAGCTGCCTGTGAGGTGCTTTAAGGTTATAGTCACATGACCTATACCACCGGGTACCCATTTTCTGCGAGGTGAACAGAGGCAATTTTGAACAAACTCACTTGCTAAAGGTGAGACCACATGTATCATACGTGCTTCGTTGTGGTTGATTATCTAATGTAAACTAATTGATTGTCTAATTAAAGGAAATTCGATAGAAAAAAAAGTGTTTTTGGTTTGTATTTAAATATAAAATTTTAATAAAATATTATCTCAGTTGTATAACAAGTGGATTATCTGAGAGATAAATTGGATTATTCCATTAATTATAGTTATTTCGGCCACCTCCGTGGTGTAGTGGTTAGAGCGTCCGTCCGGAGAGCGGAAGGTCGCGGGTTCGATCCCCGACCGCGTCATACCAAAAGACGTTAAAATATGGTACTTGTTGGTTCCTGCCTGGCGCTCGGCATTAATGGGTACAACAAGGACTGGTCGGCTCGGAGTCAGTATAATGTGTCTGAGTGGGGTATTCATGCTTCACTGCGGCATGGTATCTCAGTGGGCTAGCACTATAAAACGAGCTAAAGTCTGGCCTAGTACAAGCAGCCGCACATACACATATGCACGTCGTCATATGAGCGAAATATTCTCAAGCACGACGTTAAACCCAATTTCACCTCGCCACCTATAGTTATTTCCATTAAACTGTAGCTTCGTTTCAATGAATACTCGAGTCAGTGCAAAGTAGAATGTTGCAAATATAATTCTTTTAAACCGTCGGGGCGGTGGAGTAGCCTACTGGTTAAAGCGTTCGCTCGTCACGCCGAAGACCCGGGTTCGAGTCCCCACAAGGGTACAATATGTGAAGCACATATCTGGTTCCCCCGCCGTGATATTGCTGGAATATTGCTAAAACTAAACTCATTCACTTTTTAAACGTCGGTCCAAAGTTTCTGTTCGTGCACACTCAAAATCAACCATTTCTTCAAGGCAATGTGTTCTGCCATCACTAAACATTATTGGAACTGTCCTTTGATGAAACTATATTTGCATCGACAGTTTGAACGCGACAAATCCGCATCTAACACAAGCAAAGTGAAATCTACCAGGGCAGCTTGGAAGAAACAGCGTCGAACTGACTGTAAATTAACATCAGCTTCTAATGATGAATGGGTAAAAAAAACAACTTACCAAGCAAATTCAACAAAAATATCCCCACCAATACAGTGATATAGAAAAAACCCCATGAAAACCAAAATTACATTATAAGGCAAAAATATAATACGCACGCACGCACGCACGCACGCACGCACGCACGCACGCACGCACGCACACACACACACACACTTATTATCCCCCAGCACATTGGAAAAGAAGAGTGATCGAGGCAGTTTTCAAACTTAAAGAGGATCTGAGATTATGTAGAATCATCACATTTGATAACAATTTTCAGAAAACATCACAGAGAAATGCAACTGACTTATAAAAGGGTATTTGTGGTGTTTTTCGGGAAATAATTCTAAAACACCAGGTGTGTTCTTTCTTTTGTCGGTCAGTTTGTATAGCTTCTCCATTGCCCAGCACCTCAGAGGTGGCCATGGAGGATTACCACTGAGCTGTGTTCATTGCCACGAATCAGGTAAAGTGAACCGATGTTCGTTGTGGAGAGTAGGTGGATGGGTGGCCACTTTCGGCAGCTTGGCTCCTGAGAGTTTCTTGGGCCCGCACTGACTCACATGCACATACTGTCGCCTTGGGTAAATTTCTTTGCCCAAATGTGCCTCTGTTCACCCTGCAATGAATGGGAACCCGGTAGGATAAGATGGTAATGTGATCTTAATATTATTGCGCTTCGCAGGCAGCTTGGGTTGTACATTCCTCACATGGGCGATGGGTATCCTAGTGGTTAAAGCGTTCGTTCGTCACGCCGCTGACCCGGGTTCGAGTTCCCACATTGGTACAATGTGTGAAGCCCATTTCTGGAATATTGCTAAAAGTGGCGTAAAACCATACTCACTACTCTTTAGTGAGATCACAATGATATGAATGCAAACGTAGTGTAATAATAATGTACACGCACATCAGTTCATACACATCAATACATTCAGATATATACAGTAATTATATCGACAAGATGAGTACACCTATGTTGAAACAGTCCCCCTTCAAGGATCAGGACATAACTGTGTTATTGAACATAAAAGATTTCGACTTGCATGTATAAACAAAAGAGCCTTCATCAGCCAATGAAAGACGAGCTTCCTGGCCCGGCTTGTTGGCTCCGCCCACTCCGACGTCCGGGTTGCAGCGTACATAAACCGCAGAAACTTGACACTGATTGAATGACAAACGGCATTTCAAGCTTTTGTTTTCCTGCAAGGTAAGGTATATTTTGGCATGGCATTTTCTTAATATTTAACGATAGCATAAAATTTATTTTAGGTGGCGTATGGTCCTGTGCATAGAGCTCAGGTCACAACCAGTTGAAACTAAGCCATGTTGGGTGCGGAGAGTCATTGGATGGGTGACCGTGTGCGCGAGCTTGACTCCTGAGAGTTTTCAGGACTTCAGTCCTGCCCCACAACGAAGCACATGTGATACATGAGGTCTCACAAGGAAGTGAGATTGTTCAAAATTGCCTCTGTTCACCCAGCAGAAAATGGGTACCCGGTGAAGTAAGTCGTGAGACTATTAACCTTCCTGCGCCTAACAGGCAGCTTGGGCTTGAGCAGGATATCTAGCCTGGAAAAGGCGCGTTTAAATATTCTCATTATTATTATTATAAGACTGAAGAGCTAATGTTCAGTTACACGCCGACTTTGATGCTCACACTATGCTGATTCCGATCCGACCCTTCCTTGTTGTATCCTCATAACATCGATCACCAGGCATGGTAACAACAAATACCATAATTCTCGTGACTTGTGTTGGTATGAACGCAGCAAGGGAATCAAACTCCTCTCTTCCTCTCTCCAGGCAGACGCCGCTGCAACAGTGAGGTGAGGTGAAATTGGGTTTAACGTCGTGCTTGAGAATATTTCGCTCATATGACGACGTGCATGCGTGTGTATGTGTATGCGCGGCTGCTTGTACTAGCCCAAACTTAAGCTGGTTTCATAGTGCTAGCCCACTGAGATACCATATCGCAGTGAAGCATGAATACCCCACTCAGACACATTATACTGACTCCGAACCGACCAGTCCTTGTTGTACCCATTAATGCCGAGCGCCAGGCAGGGACCAACAAGTACCATATTTTGGTATGACGCTGCAACAGTAGTGAGTGAGTGAGTTTGGTTTTACGCCGCTTTTAGCAACATTCCAGCAATATCACGCGGGGGACACCAGAAATGGCCTTCACACATTGTACCCATGTGGGGAATCGAACCCGGGTCTTCGGCGTGACGTTTTTCCATACTGCATGGTTAGTTTAATAATGTCTGTATTATTTAAACGACACTCAAGTTCCAGTGTGCGAAATAGTTTCCAAATTTTGCTAGCCAGTCGGGCTAGCTATGCCTAAAAGTTACTAGCCCACAAAAAATCCACTAGCCTGAAATTTGAATGTAGAAACTAAGCAAGCGATTACAAAAATAGATGAGAATAAGATATAGTCGGCATGATAATTAATCGGTTTCATAATTAAGCTGCTAATATGATGAATCTTTTTATCAAGCCATAATCTTGCATGATTTAAAAGTGTGTTATTACTTAACAAGTCGGAGTGCTATATTTACAAAATGACCCCATGAAAATTCACTAGCCAGTGACTGTGGAGATTTACTGGCCCGACTGGATTTTTACTAGCCATGGGCTAGCGGGCCAGTGACTATTTCGCATACTGGCCACTCAGCATTCAAATGATATAATTCGAAGGGTAAAAACTGAGCATTTCTTTGAACCGAGACTCGATTATTTACAGACAACCGTCATATGAAACTGGATTGTTGCGTAATCCAATAAAACATGAAACAACAAACAAACACAACCGGGGTATATAGTACAGGGCCCCATTCCTCAAAGCGATCGTAGCGCTACGACAGTCGTAACTCCCATACTATAACATAGACTTACGACTGTCGTAACTCCCATACTATAACATAGACTTACGACTGTCGTAGCGCTACGATCGCTTTGAGGAACGGGGCCCTGGTGTATACTGTTCGCCTGGCGTCATCACAGAAGTTTCATACCGTCCCCCTTTCTCAGTGGTATCTTTTTCTAAGACAGATTAATTCATGGCGTTTTATATTTGCCTACATTTTGCAATGGATAAACTCATTCCCTGTAAATCTGGTAAAGTTACGATGAAGGATTTTCCTAATCTTTGGTAAACAATTTGAAATATCACAAATGCAGTTTAACTAAAAGTGACAAAGAACGTCCCATACATCATAAGAAATAGAAGTCACAATTCCGACAATGTCCTGAATCGCTATCAATTAGAGATGATACCGTGTGGCTGATAAAAAGTGAGCTAACTCTTCACCCAAAAGTCTACTGATCCTAGTCATAAACACACAGGTATATGTATCTGTAAAATCAATTCCCTTGTCTCCCACCAAGTTTATACAGTGACGCTGCAAAAGAGTGTTTGAAAGAAAGAACGAATAAGAAACACCGACAACAACCGACAAAACAACAAACAAAACTAAGGTGTTTCCCACATGGCAGGGTGACTGAATTTCTAAAGGGGTACCCTTATTCCAAAAAGGGCATGCCATGTCAGATTACCAAGTATTATGTTAAGTTATTCTTAAAGACTCAAAGAGCAGAGTTATTTCACTTAACTTTAACATGAAATAGAAACTAAAAACCTCCGAGTGTTCATATCAATTAAAACACTTATGTCCATTGTTCTTGGAAGTGTTTTATTAGCGTAACTGAATAACCGCCCTAGGGCAATTATTTCTATTTAAAAACAATAAAATTGTACTCATTTTGATAATCCTCATCATGCCTAATACATTACACGCGTATTAATAAGTATGTCCTCGTGGTGTAAGCCGTTTGGTCGGTCTATAAGGGTGATTAACCTGTACGTATTGTATTAAAAAGGGCAGGGCACCAAATAAAAAGGGGAAACACTAAAACCAAAATACAAAACAAAGAAAGCAAATAAAGCGAAATGATTTAAAATGATAATTTAAATATATGTTCCCGCATGTAATTCAATACTATCGAATAACCGTTTCACCATTTTGTGTTTGTATTTTTTTATTGACCATGAAAAGTGGGTGTTCATTTGCTTTTACCTGACAGTTTAATTATCAACAAAGTAAGCTGGAACTGTAATTATGTTTGTTAACATCATCATCATCATCATCATCATCATCATCACCACTGTTGTTGTTTTCAGGATGAATGCAGCCCTCTGGCTCTCAGTGATCCTTCTCCTGGTGCCTCCAATCACCTGTCAGTCATGTAGGTACACGCACACTCGTATGGAATCCCAGAAGGGACATTGTCGCCTGTTGCATTATGTGAAAAACCAATGTGTTAACATTGAACGATTTGTTTAACTGTAAACGAATTAGTGTTTAAATATTTGTAAATATTTTGTACAAAAAAAGGTAAATTTTGTAATGCCATCATGAAAACTGTAAATGTTCCCTGTAAACCATTCCGCCATTCTATGACCTGTATATTTGTACCTCTTTCGCCGAGTATCCCGGCCTGAGCATAAATAGAGTTGATTAACCGAGAGTGTTTCCGTATCATTAATATAATATATTAGGAATAGAAATTGTATTATGCGACTCTTTTCGCGAGCATAATGCATATTTTTTATCCGTAATATATGATATTAATGATACGGAAACACACGAGGTTAATAATCTCTTTATCGTATTACAAGTTCTGTTCTGTTCTGTCGCGTTGTCGTCCTTGCAAAACCAAACAAAAAGTATCAAAATTAACCAAAGTGCGACAATGTCCCTCCTCGGATTCCATACTCCCGTGTGTCGATTTCACACTTCCTTAACATTGTCATATATTTGTATATAGTTTAATGCTACACTCTGCAATGTTCCAGACGTATGACGGAGGTCTGTAAATAACCAGTCTGAACCAGACAATCCAGTGACTGACATCATGAGCATCGACGTACGCATATGGGATATTACACGGGTACCATCATGCCATTTGGTCAGGCTCACTGACTTGGCTGACATATGTCTTCGTATCCCAGTTCCGTAGATCGATGCTCATGCTGTTGAACACTGGATTGTCTGGTCCAGACTCAATTATTTACAGACCACCATTATATAGCTGGAATATTGCTGTGTGCGGCGTTAAACAACAAACCATCCAAAATACACACGGAAGGCTGAAGGTTCTGGGTATTTAAGAAGCAAATGGCAATGCTGTTTCTCATCAAATGTCATCCTGTTTATATTCAAATTATATGTTTAGAATAAGTCGATGCTCTATTACTCAATAATATTAAAGCGACGAAACGTTTCAGCATCCACAAGAAGTCTCTACTGAAAGTGATTCAATTGTACAATTTCGACTTGAGTGAGTGAGTTTAATTTTACGCCGTTTTTAAGCAATATTCCAGCAATATCACGGCGGGGGACACCAGAAATGGGCTTCACACATTGTACCCATGTGGGGAATCGAACCCGGGTCTTCGGAGTGACGAGCGAACTCTTTAACTACTAGGCTACCCCACCGCCCCATAAATAATTGAGTTCCCGACAAGATAAATTGTCAAATTGTAATACAACATACACCTACTTACTCGTTTATAAACACTTTTATTCATTGTTGTTCTTCAGATGAAGACTATTTCAACGACATCGTGTACTGTACGTGTGAAATCAGATGCTGCCCCGAGTTCCTGTCGAAACTGAGCAAGAGAAGTGTTTCCCAAGCCTTCTTCGACATGGCCCATGTTCGACACAAACGGTGTTGTGGATGCACGCGTTGCCAGGACTACCCATGGATGTCTGATAGAAGAGGAAAATCGAGACGGAATTGAGTTCATGCGACTGTCAACTTAAACCCCCCAAAAGATGAAGAAATAAAGTCTAGCTGAGAACCATTTCGATGTCATTGTTGCCATGGGAAACGTTTGGACATCCCAGCAAGAGTTTTCACGAAACTGAGATAAAATCCCAACATTGTTGGTAAAATGTATAAATGTGGAAGGGAATTATGTTAAAATAAATAATTTTAATATCTTCATTAATATTTTCGTTTCATTTGAGGTTCGTAGTTTATCGGTCGTCCGTGTATTGACCCTCGCCAGGGGTTTACAAAGGCTTGTGCTAAGATTATTTCACAAGTCCCAATTATTCAGGTCGGTTGACCCATACACAAGATAAAGTTTAATTTTTTAAATGTATATCTTTTTAAAAGGTTTCAAAAGGGAGTTGAAACGAATGGAAGCCCAAACTCTCATGACGATTCAACTGTATTATGTATGCATGTATCCAGTGTCAAGCATCAAACCCAACTCACTCACTAACTCACTCACTCACTCACTCACTCACTCACTGCAATGGCCAGTGTATAAAGAGGATGATGGCTTGTTGATATGTGGTTTGTCAGCGCTATATATGCGCCTGATAAAATGTCGTACAGTTAATATACTTAAAAATAATAGGGGGAACTTCATTTTTAATTTACGATTGAAAAGATTGTGAGGTATATCGGAGTCAATCGATGTTGTTATAATCATGAATGTTTTGAGAGTTCATCACCACTTGCACTTCCTTATGACCATAGTTGTTTGTACAGCAATCGCTCTTGAGAGATGATTGGTGTATGGTGTGAAATTTGTACGATTTACATTTTCACACAAAAAAACAGGCTAGAAACAAACACTAATAACTGTGTGATGCAAGATGATTGTCAAAATTAATGGTCTACAGTGATTTATCGACCTTCTTGAAAACCGTCAAAATCAAGAATGACAACCATGCACGTGTGTGGGGCTACTGTGTTGTGCACGTGCATCCCAGTGCGTTGTGTTTAGGGGTGGTGATAAAGAGAAATGGTGGTGCGTTCATAAGATGTCTGTCTTTGAAAGGTTTGTTAAAGCTTATACTTCCTATCCATATTGAAAGCTCAGGTTCCCCTACTTTTCTCAGAGAGTATGATATACAAAAAAAGAGGTGATGAAAAAATTCCTTGTCCTTTCATTCGCGTATCTTTTGCGCTTTGACGGATTTTAATCATTTGTAAACAAGATCGCCTGCAACATACATGATATACGGGGTTTATCAACTAATTCATAACAACCGTATCCTTCAAAATGTGAAATATTGATTACAGGCGACGAGAATAAGTCCATGAATAGGTCTCATGGTCTTCTCCGTTCACTTCACAAGGCCCTTCGACATTGGTATTGAACCCATTTCAATATTGCTTAACGCTTTAATTTTCCTTGGAATTGTACGCCGAGATTATTTCCTAGCTGCGGGCTCTCTGACGCATTAATCGTGAACTGGCAGCTGGCAGATAGTTTAAATGGTGAGGGCATCTTGGCGCATTCCTGCGTGAACACTACATTCCTAGTTGATGTGGCAATGACGTATTCAGAGGTGACTGCCCCATGCCACATCCTTAGTGACTTACCCATGTCACATCCTTGGTGACTGCCCCATGCTACATCCTTGGTGACTTACCCATGACACATCCTTGGTGACTTACCCATGGCTCATCCTTGGCTACATCCTTGACACATCCTTGGTGACTTACCCATCACACATCTTGGTGACTTACCCATGCTACATCATCATTACCCATGCCACATCCTTGGTGACTTACCCATCACACATCCTTGGTGACTTACCCATCACATCCTTGGTGACTTACCCATGCTACATCCTTGGTGACTTACCCATCACACATCCTTGGTGACTTACCCATCACACATCCTTGGTGACTTACCCATGCCACATCCTTGGTGACTTACCCATCACACATCCTTGGTGGTGACTTACCCATGCCACATCCTTGGTGACTTACCCATCACACATCCCATGGTGACTTACATCCTTGGTGACTTACCCATCACACCTTGGTGACTCCTTGGTCACACATCCTTGGTGACTTACCCATGCCACATCCTTGGTGACTTACCCATGCCACATCCTTGGTGACTTACCCATCACACATCCTTGGTGACTTACCCATCACACATCCTTGGTGACTTACCCATCACACATCCTTGGTGACTTACCCATCACACATCCTTGGTGACTTACCCATCCACATCCTTGGTGACTTACCCATCACACATCCTTGGTGACCCATACCCATGGTGACATCACTTACCCATCACACATCCTTGGTGACTTACCCATGCCACATCCTTGGTGACTTACCCATGCTACATCCTTGGTGACTTACCCATCACACATCCTTGGTGACTTACCCATGCCACATCCTTGGTGACTTACCCATCACACATCCTTGGTGACTTACCCATCACACATCCTTGGTGACTTACCTTACACATCCATGACTTACCCATCACATCCTTGGTGACTTACCCATCACACATCCTTGGTGACTTACCCATGACACATCCTTGGTGACTTACTTACCCTTGGTGACTTACCACATCCTTGGTGACTTACCCATATCCTTGGTGACTTACCCATCTAACATCCTTGGTGACTTACACATCCTTCCTTGTGACTTACCCATCACACATCCTTGGTGACTTACCCATGCCATCCTCCTTGGTGACTTACCCATGGTGACACATCCTTGGTGACTTACCCATGCTACATCCTTGGTGACTTCCCATGTTCCACACATCCTTAATGTGACACCCATGACACATCCATCCTTACCCATGCTACATTTATGTGTCCATCCATGTGTTCCATCCTTGTGTCCCATCCACATTGTGTTCCATGCATCCTTATCCACATCCTTGTTGTTTCCATCCATCCATGTTGTTTCCATGTTCCATGTTATTCCATATTTCCATCCATGTTTCCATCCATATTGTTCCATCCATACATCCTTCCTGTTCCATCCATCCATGTGTTTCCACATCCATGTTATTCCTTCCATCATATCCATGTTCCATCTTTCCATCCATTACCATCCTTGTGTTATCCATCCATCCCTGTTGTCCATCCATGTTATTTCCATCATCCTTGTGTTCCTTCCATCCTTATCATGTGTTCCACATCCATGGTGTGTTTCCATCCATCCACTGTGTTCCATCCATGTGTTCCACCATCCATATGTGTTCTACATCCATGTTGGCTTCCATATCCCATTGTTGGCTTTCCATCCATTGGTGTTCATCATCCATTTCCATCCATCCTTGTGTTCCACCATCCATGTTCTTCCATCATATGTTCCATCCATGTGTCCATCCTTGTTGTTCTTCCATCCATGTGTTCCATCCATATTTACATCTTGTTCCATCCTTGTGTTCCCATCCATCCATGTTGTTTCCATCTGTGGTTGTTTCCACCATCCATCCTTGTTCCATCCATGTGTTCCTCCATCCACATCCTTGTTATTTTCATCCATCATGTCCATGCATCCTTGTGTTCCTCCACATCCATGTGTTCCACCATCCACATCCATGTTGTTCCTTCCACCATTATTTCCACATCCATGTGTTCCACCATCCATCCATGTGTGTTCCTATCCACATCCTTCCTTGTCCACCATCCATCCTTGGTGTCCTTATCCATGGTGTTCCATCCATGTTGTTCCTTGTTCCATCCATCCATCCTTGTGTTCCATCCATGTGTTCCATCCACATCATGGTGTTCCATCCATTCCATGTGTTTCCTTCCATCCATCCTTGTGTTCCACCATCCCATGTGTTTCCTTCCATTTATGTGTTCCTTTCCATCCATCCATGTTGGTGTTCCATCCATCCATGTTGTTCCACCATCCACATGTGTTCCATCCATCCATGTATATTTCCTTCCATGTGTGTTTCCATCCATCCATCCTTGTGTTCCACCATCCACCATCCTTGGTGTTCCACCATCCACATCCATGTGTTCACCATCCATGTGTGTCCATCATGTTCCACCATCCATCCATGTGTGTTCACACCATCCATGTGTTCCATCCATCCATGTGTTCCTTCCATCATCCATGTTTCTTATCCATGGTGGTTTCCATGTCCATGTTTCCTCCATGCATGTGGCCACCATCCATCATCCATGTGTGTCCTTGTGTTCCATCCATACATCCATGTGTTCCATCCATGGTGTGTGCCATCCATGTGTTCCATGTCCATGTGTGTCCATGTGTTGGTGGCTATCCACATGTGGCTTGGCATCCATCCATCCTGGTGTTCCTTCCATCCTTGGTGTTCCATCCATGTTCATCCTTGGTGTCATCCTTGGTGTGTGGCCACATGTGTTCCATACCACATCCTTGGTGTTCCATCCATGCATGTTTCCTTGGTATCCATGTGTTGGCTTGTCCATCCATCCATGGTGTGCTTGGTGGCTCCATCCTGGTGTTTCTACATCCTTGGTGTTCCTTGTCCTTGTTGTTCATGTCCATCCATGGTGGCCACATCCATCCTGGTGTCCACATCCATGTTGGTGGCCTTGTGTTCCTTGGTGTGTCCATCCACATCCTGTGTGTTTCCTTGGTGTTCCTTGGTGTTCCATCCGTGTTGGCCATCCATCCATCCTTGGTGTTCCATTGTGTGGCCATCATGTGTGTCCATGGTGGCCATCCATGTGTGTTCCTTGGTGTGTGTCCTTGTTGTCCATGTGGCTCCACATCCTTGGTGTGTCCATGTGTGGCCATCCATGTGTGTTCCTTGTGTGTCCATCCATGTGTGTGTGTGTCCTTGGTGTTCCATCCATGTGTGTCCATGTCCATGTGTGTCCTGTGTGTGTCCATCCATGTGTGTCCTTGTTGTGTGTCCTTGGTGTTCCACATCATTGGTGTGTCCTTGGTGGGCCACATCCTTGGTGTGTCCATGTGGTGGTGTTCCATCCATGGTGGCTTGGTGGTGTCCATCCTTGGTGTGTCCATGTGTGTCCATCCATCCTTGGTGGCTTCCTTGTGTGTTGGTGTCCTTGGTGTCCATCCTTGGTGTGTCATGTGTGCATGGTGTGCCATGGTCTCCATGGTGTGTCATGTTGGTGTTCCATCCTTGTGTGTGGTGTGTCTGTGGCTGTCCATGTGTGTGTCCATCCTTGGTGTCCATGTGTCCTTGTCCATGGTGTGTCCAT